AGCAAAGAGGAGAGAGGAGGGAGAGGGCAGGGAGAAGCGTGACGCTGGCTGGCGATAATAGAATGTGTTGTTTTGCTTGACACCACAAAACCACAAAGAGGGCTTATCTGTGATACAATGAGGCTTGGCAGCAGCGAAGCCTGGTGAGGCCTGTGGGAGAGCATGAGAAAGAGAGAGAGAGAGAGCGAGCGAGAGAGAGAATGAATGACTCTCGGTCTCAATGGGGCGAGAGTAGCTGACTGTCAGCTTCGTTCAGGGAAGAAAACGCTCACGGATTCACACCTCCGCTCCTCAACATGTTTTTCTCTCGCGCTCGCGTTTGGGAGAAGTAGGCCAGGGGATTGTGTTGCCATCACTCAGAAATGTCAGGCGAGCTTGTGCTGGTATTTGCTCGCGAGCAGCGGAATACAAGGTCTGTCAGAGCTGGAGGAACACAGACGAGAAGCAGATTAAAGTGATAGTTTGGTAAAAAATCAAATCGAAACAGATGGTCCTTATAGTCCAGAGTGCTTATAGTCCAGAGTCCTTAAAGTCCAGAGTGCTTATAATCCATAGTCCTTATAATCCATGGTCTTTATAATCCATAGTCTATAATCCATAGTCCTTATAATCTGTAGTCCTTTAGTCCATAGTCCTTATAGTCCATGGTCCTTAAAGTCCAGAGTGCTTATAGTCCATAGTCCTTATACTCCATAGTCCTCATACTCCATAGTCCTTAAAGTCCATAGTCCTTACAATCCATAGTCCTTAATGTCCACAGTCCTTAAAGTCCATAGTCCTTATAATCCATAGTCCTTAATGTCCACAGTCCTTAAAGTCCATAGTCCTTATAATCCATAGTCCTTAATGTCCACAGTCCTTATAGTCCATTGTCCTTAAAGTCCAGAGTGCTTATAGTCCATAGTCCTTAAAGTCCACAGTCCTTATAATCCATAGTCCTTATACTCCATAGTCCTTATCCCTAATGCAGTCGCGATGTTTGGTGTCTGAAATTTGCTTATTTCGTTTTTCGTTGAAGCTACAGGACTAAATTTGCTGACGTGTGGAGCTGTTATGGTTACTTAGTTAAATTTTAAATTAAATTTAAATTTGAGATAAATTACTTGAAGAATTCGCTGCTCATGATAAAGTCATGTTTAACAGTCTAAAGATTCTCCAGTGATGTACTATGAGTGCTCAGGTCTCTTTAGTGTCCATCACTGAAAAATAGGAAACCCACACCAGCAGGATCTCATTAATCACGTCTATGAAGTAACAGTGTATGCTTTTCTTCTTCTTTTGAAAGCATGAAAGCTTTCATGTAAATAGGTCTTGGCTTAGCAGCTCGGCAGACATCTATAAGACTAACTGGCTACTTCAGAGTGAGTTGAAAGGATTCACAGTAAATATATAATATAGAGTAAATGCTGGGCACAGTGGTGCAGTGGGTAGCAGCATCACTGGGCCTGGGTTTGGTTCCCCGGCCGGGTGACCAGGGTCCTTTCTGTGTGGAGTTTGCTTGTTTTCCCTTTGTCTGTGTGGGTTTCCAAAGACATGCAGTCAGGCCAGTTGGAGACTCTAAATTGTCCCTAGGTGTGTGAATGTATATGTCTGTCTGTCTGCCCTGAGATGGACTGGTGACCTGTCCAGGGTGTATCCTGCTTTCTGCCCAATGACTGCTGGGATAGGCTCCAGCCCCTCCTGTGACCCAGGAGGATAAGCGGTTTAGAAAATGTGTCTATGTGTGTGAATATGCCACTTGAATGTCTGTTACACGCTTCAAATGCATGTGTTTAAGTAGTGAGTAATATTACTGAGTAGTAATACTGAGTAATATTGACCTAGTTTTGGAAAATGAAGGTATGGCACCTCTAAGGTAATGTGGTAACGTAATGATGTGCAGCTGTGAGAAGTTCATGAAAGCCATTTTTATTGTTTGACTTTAAAAACCTTTTCTAAATCGTCAGAATAATTACCAGATTACTCAATTAGTAATATAATTGATAATGACAGCCTTATTAACAAGTTATATACGTAAGCTGAAACACTCCAGTAAGCATCATGCAAGTGTGATGACTTAAACATGCAGTTTTCATGATTGCTAACTGGTGTACAGGAGCCTCATAGCTCCAGTGCTAAAGCAGTAAAAACCCATCTCCATCTGATTATCGAGGTTTCCCAATCCCAGTCCTGGCAACTCAACACTGTGGAAGTTTTTGCGCTTTGTCTTATCAAACACACATTTTTTACTCGTTAACTAATTAACATGCGCCTCATTGGCTGGGTGAGGTGTGTAGTGTGGAGAAACCGCAAAAATATGGGTCACCAGGACTGGGATTGGGAACTTCTGGTATAAGCTTCCATTACTTGTTCGCTATATTAGCTTGGCAGCTCCAGTGTGAAACTAAAGAAGCACCAAAGACACCAAACATGTCTTAGCTGATCGACTAAATATTTGACAAGGGAGGAAAATGTGAGTTTTATTTTTTATCGCTTTAAGACAAAGACTGTTTTTTGGCCTCTGCATTGATAGCTGATATAAGAGCCCCCTGGCACTGATACGGACCTTTTCACACTCTCCATCACACACTCCTCATTTACCCCTCACATGGAGCAAACACACACATACACACACACACACCCTGCAGTGAAAGCAGGCCCGTCTTCTCCTGTTGGTTCCAGGCACCAGTGGTCATTAGCAGTGCTGCAGCTGTCTCTTTTTCACTCTTTTGTACGAATTCTCTTTTTGTATTCTCTCGCTCTTTTGTACAGCTTCTCAACGATGCTCAGTGAAAGCTAACCAATGGCCTGCCTAAGTCCATCCCCTCACCAAGGCTAAAACAAAGTCCTCCATTCCCTCGTCCTCCATTCCCTTTCTTCGACTTCCCCCACACAGATGTGAATAAGGGTCATTCCTAGGCGTTACGTTTTCACATGAAAGGAATTTGTTCTCACACAAGTACAGAAACTATAATAAACATGCAGTAAAACACCAAAATGTGAAGTACTGTACATGTTTGATAGCAGGAGGTGGTAGCAGACATAGTTCATAGATGTGCCTAACAGTGACTATGTAAAGTATATACACCGATCAGGAATAACATTATGACCATGTTTCTATGCTCATTGTCCATTTTATCAGCTCCACTTACTATATAGGTGCACTTTGTAGTTCTACAATTACAGACTGTAGTCCATCTGTTTCTCTGCATACTTTGTTAGCCCCCTTTTACCCTGTTCTTCTGTGGTCAGGACCCCCATGGACCCTCACAGAGCAGGTACTATTTGGGCAGTGGATCATTCTCAGCACTGCAGTAGCACTGACGTGGCGGTGGTGTGTTAGTGTGTGTTGCGCTGGTCTGAGTGGATCAGACACAGCAGTGCTGCTTCATATGAAATCATGAGCTAAATGAGAAAATCTCTGATAACTGAAAGACTCAGTGGACTCATGAGCTTTTCTTCATAGATCCTCAGAAAATAGGTAAAAGGAAGTCGTGATGTCATCAGTGTGATTTTTATTTCAAAATAAGAGATTTTTTGTTATGCAGAAACACCAGTGACGCAACTCCTGGGGACCACAACTTTCATTATGTATTTTATAATATTTATTTGTTTTCATTTGTTTTCTTTATGCCATTTAAATCATATATTCCATAGTCGTGTATAGATTATTGCAGTTAAAATCGCAGAAAAACATGGTTTTTACCTCAAAATATGGCCTCGCCCTTTACACATGACTGTGGGGACGAGCTCTTCTGTGGTGCTTGGAATTCTAGATAATTGATTTAAAATCCAATATTGCTAAATTGAGACTCAAGAAGGTGTAATTGTTAAGATAATTTATTGATTTATTCTAAAATATTAATTAATTGTAACCCTAACATGTTTTTTTAAGTGTAATATATCTGTTTCTGTAGAATGACCCAGCTACAAAAGACTAAAATAAAGGCACTGTTATTTACAGCGTGCTAACAGTGTATTAATCAGTTTTAACTTGTGCACTTTACACTGACATCACTGTATATAACTTCAATGTAACGATAGCCCACAGCATTTGTTTCTGATTTAACAGTGAAAGGGCTCTGACTCTTCTTATTTGCACTTATAAATCATCAAAAAAAATTTCAGCACACTGCAAAAAAAGATATTTTCGCAAGTGAAATCATCTTTTATGTTGTCAATATATCTAATATTTCTCTTTTTGAGATTATTGTAAAAATTTTATACAGTTATTCAACTTAATTTTTGTCTTTTTTCACTTTAAATGTATGTAGTTTAAGTAATCTAGTTTTTAATATAGAGTAATACTCTCTTGTTCTGTTGGCAGGTTGTTCTGTTGCTTTCCACATGCAAAGGAAATATATTTTGTGTATATTTGTTTTATATTTCCACATATGTTTGATGTATAAGCAAATATAAAAAATTGACACTGTTACATAACGTATGACACATATTTATATATATAAGGGGGATCATGGACCAGCCATTCAGAAGCCTGAAGACCCCAACAGAAGACAGGATATTCTGGAGAAACTCTAGCCATGTGTTGATGGAGCTTAGTAATAATAATAATAATAATAATAATAATAATAATATGCATACATTGGCATCTATTTAAATATTTAAACATGGCACATATTTTTAATATGAGCAAAAATATGTGTATGTATTTTTCTTCCACATTGGTTATTTTCAACACTGCTTCTTTTTATTTGTGCTTCAAAATGATCTGCATTCTGTTTTGAAACAGCCAAATGATCTGCCAATTGATAAGACAATATCTGTAGTTAAGATGATTTAAAGCGCTGAGAAATCATCATAATATTTAAACATTCTTACAATCTCTATGAGAAATATTATATAAATGACTAGACTTTAGATGTTTTCACTTGCTGACATATAATTTTTTGCGGTGCAGTTAAACTGCAGTTGCTCTTAAAGAGACACTGCTTGGGGTAAGAAGCTGTTCCTTTGTCTGTGATGTCGTGTCTGACCCGCTCTTCCTCTCTGTGTCCTCTCAGCGCTCTGCCGGGGCGTTGGCATGGCCCAGGGATGAATGGCGACGGGGCGCCCAGCAGCCCGGAGCTCTCCTCCTCGTGCCCACCGCCCGACTGGAAGGAGTTCTGCGAGCTGCATGCCCGCGCCTCCGCCGCCGACTTTGCCCACAAGTTCCGTCGCTTCATCAGCGAGAACCCGTGCTACGACTCGCCGGGTGCCGACGCCAGCTTCTCTCAGCACTTCGCCCGCCACTTCCTGGACTGTTTCGTGGCTGCCCTCAGCCAGGCGCGGGAGCCGGGCTCTCCAGGCTCCGCCCCCAAGTATAGCATTGTGCCCTTCGCCGGCCTCCGGAGCTGTCCGCCGCCCTACGGCCACGACCTCTACCAGCGGCGCAAGGACGCGGGCGCCTCCAGCGAATCACTGGACAGCATGGACAGCGTGGGAGGAGGGGGTGCTGGAGGAAGCTCCGCCTCCCACAAGGTGTCAGCCTTGGGCCAGTCACGGAGCTCAGAGGACGTGTCTCTGGGCCATCACCACCCCAAAGCACGCTTCAAGAAGGGCTTCTCGCTGCGCAACATGAGCCTGTGCGTGATGGACGGGGTCAGGGAGATCTGGCACCGCCGAGCGTCTCCAGAAGGGGACAGGAAGGCAAACGGAGGGGAGGCTGGCGGTCCTGACCGCTGGAGCCAGAAGCTGAGGTTGGCACGCGGTTCACAGAGCCACCGGGGGGCCGAGCTGCTGGAGATCCAGAGGGAGGGGGCGCTGCGCTACATGGTGGCCGACGACACCAACTGCGTGGGGACGGCGCAGTGGCAGAAGTGCAGGCTGCTGCTCAGGAAGACGGGAGCCGCCTCGGAAGGCGGCGAAAAGTTCTTGCTCGAGTTCTACGTGCCGCCAAAGGTAATCTGATTTAGACAAACAATTGTGGATTTTTTTTTGTCTCAAACCATAAACCACAATTCACACTTTTATTGTTACTCTGATGCAGCAGATGTAGGTAGCATGAATTTTGGTTTGACTGTTTTCTCAGACACAGTCACAGTGCATCCAGCAATAAAGGCAGCATGGAGCTTCTTTTACACAGTGATAAGAAACACAGTAGCTCACAAAAAGCTCAGCTACTCTGGTATTAGGTTTTTTTTACATTTCCCTGATTTTCTCCCCAATTTAGTCGTCTCCAATTCTACCCACTAGTTAGAACTTCCCCAATCACACGATACTACCAGCGCTAGGAGGGCGAAGGCTAGCACAGGCTATCGCATCTTTTCAAACTGCCGCTGACGCAACGTCACTGGACAGCTGAACACGCTTGGAGGAGTCAGACGCCTGTGCTGACTAGCATCGCATTCAGTGATAGGGACAGAGCCGGTTTATGAGGAGCCTGGCCTCTTCCTATTCCCCCCGTTATATCATAAACAGGACTGCTAAACAGCAGAGGGCGCCCGCGAGTGAGTCCTCAATGAATGGGAGTAAATGGCGTTCAACGGCTAAAAACGAAAGGTTAAAATAGATTCTAATCACTCGCCCAGAACGTTTCTTTAATTTTAGAAAGTAAAAAGTTGTTTTTCACTAAAAAACAAAGAAATCTTACCTTTATATTCCCTTTTTTTAACAGCAGACGGGCAGCAGAAGGCGGGCATTACTGCTAGAGCGTGATTGATTGGTGAGCGGAGCAGCTCATTGGCTGTTCGCGCTCACTGACGTCATGGACGTACATGAGGCGCCATTTTAAACTCCTATAGCTCGAGTTTAAAAGCTCTTAAAAATATAACAGCAGTGTTAAAATGTTTTATGCTGTTCTGTGTTCAGAAGGTGAATGTATTCTTTTACATTAAAAATGTTTAAACATTTATAAACTATGATTTTGCTCAAATGCTCCATATCAACCCATTCATTTTGGACTCACTTGGGAGCGCCCTCTAGCGTCTGAGAAACCCGGAAGACATTGTAGAGTGGTAATTCTCCTCTCTACAAGTTCTCTGATGGGGAGAGAAGGGGGGGCCATCCTACCCACCCAGAGAGGGAGGCCAATTGTGCTTTATTGGACTCCCGGCCACGGACGGCTGTGGCATCACCAAAGATCGAAATCGCGATCTCCTGATGAACGGGCCACAGCTTAGACGGTTGCGCCACTCGGGAGCCCCCTGGGAGTTTTAATGAATTCAATCAATTCCATCAATTTTTTTTCTAAATCTCTTCATGATTAAATTCAGATAGGTTTTGAGGCAAAATGCTTCATTTTAGAGTCATTATTGTTCACCAGATAGAAACCAGATGTCTGAAGTTTGATTTTACTTGCCTATAAGACATTGTTTAACTTTAGCTTTGAGAGTTGTTTTTTTTTTCTAAATACATGGTCGAGAGATACTAAAATGGAATTGTAAAGGCGAAATAGTCCCCAGGTCAGTAAATTTTCTACATTTATTCGTTTCACATCAAACCACTCTGAATGGCGGTTTTCATCTCAGTGACTAAATTGTGTCGAGATTTTTAAAAATCGGTAGAATTCCCCTTCGAAGGAAACATTGCCAAAGTCTCTGAATGAATAGCTGACGAGACATTTTTTTGCATCGTAATTCTGCAGTCTGGTGTTGCTCATTAGAGGTCTGAACTCTGATTTGCAAAGCCACATTTTAGCAACTTTATTTGTAAAAAACAAAAAAAAAAGTTTTATATAAGTAAGATGAAATCGAAATGAGTTGAGTCGCTGGTTCTACAGCAGGAAATGTCCCGCTCTGGTCCAGATTTTACTCAGCAGTTGGTCAGCAGAATCTCCAGGCAAATTATTTCTGGTCAGCAGTGGTCATGTGGTTAGAAAATGTCCTATGATGAGTGATGCAGTGGGGCTGATAAATTGTGAAGCAACAGATGGGCTATAACTGTAGAGTATAACAGTAGAGTGACCTACAGGGTAGGTGTTTCTAATAAAGTGGCTAGTGAGTGGAAGCACATAACAGGTGTTTCTAATAAAATGGCCAGCGAGTGGAAAGACAGAGTAGGTGTTTCTAATAAAGTGACCAGTGAGTGGAAAGACAAAGTAGGTGTTTCTAATAAACTGACCAGTGAGTCTGTGTACTGCAGAGTGAGGATGCGCATTCTGGAAGTCACAGTAATGTGAGGACTGCACTGCTGACTGTGTAAATTTGCCAGCTGGTGTATGATCCAGTTTTGACCTGAGGACAGTCAGGCCTGGCTTTGCGTCAGCTGGCCTGAGTCTGCTGTACTGTGTCCAGATCTGTCAGTGTCCTGCTGCCCACCCCTTTGGGCACAGATTCCCACACAGGGCTATGTATAGGTCAGCATAAATCCGTAGGTGTCGATACCATGTTAGTATTGAATTACTCCTCTTGTAATTATCCAATATATACGTCTTGGTTCAGGTTATTTATAGACGGTATGTTGGTGTATGTTAGCAAGCTAGATTGTTGTTACTGTGCCAGTCAAAGCTGAACTACTTTAGCAGATAAAAAAGCCACAGATGTATGTGTCAGTGTTTTTAGAGACTCGACATACAGTACTGTGCAGATGTCAGCCCACCTTAGAACATCAAAATAGTGTTTATCTGGGCTCTCGGTGGGTTTTCAGTTGTAAAAACACGATCAGACTAGGAGAAATACGAATAAACTCTAATGCCATGTAAGCAGTGGTGGACAGTAACTTAGTAAATGTAATGCACACTTTACTTTGAGCTTGTTTTGACCTTTTGGACATACAGACCCTGTGCAAGCATACGGTTCAACGTCAGTGCAGCAGCTTAAAAAACTCCAGCACCACTGCTGTGTCTGATCCACTCGGACCAGCGCAACACACACTAACACACCACCACCACATCAGTGTTACTGCAGTGCTAAAAATGATCCACCACCCAAATAGTACCTGCTCTGTGAGGGTCCATAGGGGTCCTGACCACTGAAGAACAGGGTAAAAGGGGGCTAACAAAGTATGCAGAGAAACAGATGGACTACAGTCTGTAATTGTAGAACTACAAAGTGCACCTATATAGTAAGTGGAGCTGATGAAATGGACAATGAGCATAGAAACAAAGAGGGGGTCATAATGTTATGATGCCTGATTGATGTATGTATTAATGCTTATTTGGATTTATTCTAGTGTTTCTAAGTGCAGATAAACTCTTACTACGCAGACAAATAGCTTTAAATGATATTTTACGAGGTGGCCTGAGGCCTGTTCAGGACTGTAACTTGTCATAATTGGCTGCGTTTTGACAGTATTCCCCTGAAGTGCAGATGTACACCAGATACGTTCATCCTCATCCGCTTCATCAGCTCTGAAGCAAATCTTCAGTGCTTCTCCCGGGAGTGACCCGCTAACGGCTTCCTCTTCCTGGCCAAATGACCGGCAGATAAAACAGCAGTTCATGGTGCAGAGGAAGCAGCCGTCTTCTGGCTCTTCCTTACATGCAAAAGCCAAGTGTCAAGTGGACGTTTGGTTTGCACTAGCAAATGAAAACTGAAAGCTCAGGAGCCTAGATTAGATTCTTAAAGGGAAATCCGGCTGAACTGTACATGCTTTCTTGCTTCTTGCTTCTGTCTTCGTCTCTAAAATGCTACAATACATACTTAGTTTACAACACAATACAAAACCAGTACCTATAAAACACCACAATACAAAACACTTTGGTTCATTAGTGAACTGATACATTTTCAGGCATATTTAGCTTGTCAGCCTCATTTCTTTTGCAACAAACTAGGGGTGGGTGATATTTAAGCAATAGAACACGAGAGGGAGTGTGTTATTGCGAAATAACATCACGGCCGTGATGTTATTAGACTTTTAGTGTTTGACAGTTTCTCAGTGCAGAAAACCAGCTGGAGTGATTATAAATGCGAAGTCCATTCGTCTCCAAATGATCGATGTTCGTCTTAAATCTCTCTCTTTGTCGTTTCATTAGCTAGCTAGGCGGGATTGCACGCCAGCCTTCAGGGTTAAAGGGTGAATTAGCAGGTCTACATTAACTCCAGCATTTAAGATCATTTAGTGTTAAAACTGTGTTGAACGACCAGCAGAGCTTTATTTTACTGCAAAGGAGGATTATTTTATTTTTACCTACAGATCTAATTCTGCTGTGGAGCCGCAACAGGGCAGTAAAAGAGCCGCATGTTGCCGACCCCTGGTCTAGGCAAAGACAGCAGAGTATCTGACTCTCTGTGTGCTGAACTTCACTGTGTAGAATCCGAAGCTTTGGACTCTACTTTCGATTCCTGAATGCCTGGAATCGAGGAATCGATTCTTTTTGGGATCGACTCTGAGTCTGTGTGCTTTCTCTGCACCTGATCTGACTTACAAAAAGCTTGATATTCAGGAAGTGGCTTAAATCAAGCATGATGAAGCACAGAAACATGTACTTGGCGAGTTGAGAAACAGAGCTGTAACACCCAGGCTATGATTCTGTCTCATATCTGGAGCTGGACACAGCAGCCAGAGAGGAAGTGCTGTGTGAGGCTAAAGTGAGATTGATAGCGTGCTGACTGCAGCTTCAGCCACACTTCACAGCCCTGCAGAACACACGCATACACACTCACTCCTGCAATTACTCCGATTTGAGCTGCTAGAATATGAAAACAAATCACAGCAGTCACTCCACAGTGATTTAATCAACAGATGATTCATACATCACTCCCTCTCTCTCTCTCTCTCTCTCTCTCTCTCTCTCTCTCTCTCTCTCTCTCTTTGGACAATACTAGAGGGACAGTACAGCTATGAGAAGGTTTTATACTTCTCCCATGGCCCTCTCTCTATTACAGTATTACAGGAGGGGTGAGCGATACAGCAAATATATCACAGTACTTCAAGACATTTTCACAATACACAATATGCATCACAAAATCCATACAGTTCCATATGTCAGATTTCCATGTATGGCAGTGTATGGATTTCAAATAAGACATATATTTGCATACACCAATCAGGCATAACGTTATGACCACCTCCTTGTTTCTACGCTCATTGTCCATTTTATCAGCTCCACTTACTATATAGGTGCACTTTGTAGTTCTACAGTTACAGACTGTAGTCCATCTGTTTCTCTGCATACTTCGTTAGCCCCCTTTTACCCTGTTCTTCAGTGGTCAGGACCCCCATGGACCCTCACAGAGCAGGTACTGTTTGGTAGTGTGTTAGTGTGTGTTGCGCTGGTCTGAGTAGATCGGACACAGCAGTGCTGCTGGAGTTTTTAAACACTATGTCCGCTCACTGTCCGCTCTATTAGACACTCCTACCTCGTCAGTCCACCTTGTAGATGTAAAGTCAGAGACGATAGCTCATCTGCTGCTGCCCAGTTTGTGTTGGTCATCCTCTAGTCCTTCATCACTGGTCACAGGATGCTGCCCACAGGACGCTGTTGGCTGGATATTTTTGGTTGGTGGACTATTCTCAGTCCAGCGGTGACACTGAGGTGTTTAAAAACTCCAGTAGCACTGCTGTGTCTGATCCACTCAGACCAGCACAACACACACTAACACACCACCACCACATCAGTGTTACTGCAGTGCTGAGAATGATCCACCACCCAAATAGTACCTGCTCTGTGGTGGTCCATGGGGGTCCTGACCACTGAAGAACAGGATAAAAGGGGGCTAAAAAAGTATGCAGAGAAACAGATGAACTACAGTCTGTAACTGTAGAACTACAAAGTGCACCTATATAGTAAGTGGAGCTGATAAAATGGACAATGAGCGTAGAAACAAGGAGGTGGTCATAATGTTATGCCTGATCAGTGTATATATTTGTGTATTTTAAACTATATGTCTGTCCCTTCATGATATATGTGGCAATATATCTGATTTATGTGTAGGTAGACTTAAAATATGACAATTATACATGTTTCAGTCAAGAAGTTCACTTGTTTAGTTTTGCAGTGGAGGCTAATGTAGCTAACAAGCAATGGAAAGTTAGCGTTAGCATCATGCTAACTGCCAGTCTAAATCATTACACAGTTGCGTCAAACTGTGCCAAGTTGTTAACTAACCTCAAACAGACTTGCTTATGTGGTTTGTATGACTTTGTCAGTGGCGAACTGTGAATTGTACAGCCAGGCCTTTTAGAGTCTCAGTAAAGAGTCCATAGAGCTGCTGCTACTGTTTTACATTCCTAACAACTAACCGAAACCTGGTTAGACTACAGCTCGTTTTCACAGTCAGTGACGTATCTAGAACTTCCAGAAAGCCTAGAATCATGTTTCTTCTCATGATGGATGGTCAGCTGTAAATACTGGGTTTGTTTGAGGAGAGCTTTGGAAATAGCTAAGCTAACATGCTCACACACACCAAATCACAACATACTGTTGACTTGTTTTTATTCTAATGTTAGTGTTTTTGAATAACTGCCCAGATAAATAGCTTTACAGATTTTCTCAGATGGACAGTGCTGTGTGTGATTTTATAGCTTTAACCTTAATTGCATTTGTTTTCCAGTCCTCCAAGCCCAAGGTTAGCGTGCCTCTGTCGGCCATCGTGGAAGTGAGGACCACGATGCCTCTGGAGATGCCGGACAAAGACAATACCTTTGTGCTGAAGGTAGAGTCACTTTACTGTCTGTCTTACATATTTGTTGGTACTTGTCTTTCCTCATTTCTCATCACATTTAATTTCATAGCAGTTGGTGAATAATGCATAGTAGTTTTTGCTTCTTATGCATTAAGATTAGTAAATTAAAGGGGAATTCCCACTGATTTTTTGAAATCTTGTCGTATTTCAGTCGTTGAGATGTAAACAAAGTCTTTCAGAGTGGTTTGACGTGAAATGGCTCATTTGTAGAGAAATGTATGGACCTGAATTTGCTTTACAGTGGTGGTGATAGGAACCAGGGGTCACCATGTCTACAACATTAATATAGCTATTTTATTTACTATCCAGAACCACCAGTTAACCTACACGAGTCTTCTGAGCTTTTATATGTGATGTTGATGATGCTAAATAAGAAAAATCTGAAAAAATAAGTGACTATTTTGCCTTATAATGACCTGCATGTGTTCTTCCGCCATGAAAAGATTTTAAAACAATGTCTCAGACATCAGGCAGTGAATTCATAACCATTACATGTAGTACCTTTCTGTAAGGGAGCTTTTAGAGGTGGACATCTGGTTCCTATCACCACCACTGTGAACAATTCTTGGTACGTTTCTCAGAATGGTTTCATATAAACTCTGTTAATGTTAAAGATTTAATTACACCGACATGTGGAAACATCTGTGGAATGCCTGCTTAGACATAAGCCTGCAGTCTAAAGGGTTTATTTGCTCCCACATTAATGACATTAGTGGAACATTTGCAGCTGTCCAGTGTGGAATTAATAATCTGTGTAATTTAGCTGCTGGTAAACAGTGCCGTGATGTGGAATATTTGAGCAGGTCCCGCACACAACCGTGGCTTTGTGCTGTGTGTCGTCACAGGTGGAAAATGGCGGGGAGTACATCTTGGAGACCATCGACTCTCTGCAGAAAAACTCCTGGGTCGCCGACATCCAGGACTGCATAGACCCCGGGTAAACGAGAGATAAATATTTGCCCACGACTGAACGGAGGGAAGGAAAGAAGGCAGGGTGGGGTGGACACAGCACACAGCCATAGATCATGCAGTGTGAGGAGAGTTTGACAGCTCCTGACCACTCTGGACAGCACTGGACTGGGTTGTAGGAGGCATTTTTTTTTAGGGATTCATTGAGTTCATTGTCCAGGCTGCTACCAGATGCAATACATACAACCATTGGACAGTTTGTGTTGCAGACATCATATCTGGAAGTAGCATATATATATATATATATATATATATATATATATATATATATATATATATATATATATATATATATACTTATTTGTGCTGTATTCAGTTATATACATGTACAACCCCATTTCCAAAAAAGTTGCAATGATGTGCAAATCAGTTGAACCCTGTATTTCATTGAAAATAGTACAAAGACAACACATCAAATGTTGAAAGTGAGAAATTTTATTGTTTTTTGAAAAATATATGTCCATTTTGAATTTGAGGCCAGCAGCACGTTCCAAAAAATTTGGGACGGGTTCATGTTTACCACTGTGTTTCATCACCTCTTCTTTTAACAACACTCTGTAAGTGTTTGGGAACTGGTAATTTCATAACCCTCTAAATGTTACCAGTGGTGACAGGTCTGGACTGCAGGCAGGCCAGTTTAGCACCCAGACTCTTTTAATACAAGCAATGCTGTTGTAATACATGCAGAATATGGTTTGACACTGTCTTGCTGAAATAATCAAGGCCTTACCTGAAAAAGACGTCGCCTGGATGGCAGAATATGTCGCCAAACCATGTATATATCGTTCAGCATTAATGATGCTTTCATAGATGTGCACGTCACCCATGCCATGTGCACTAATGGACCCCTATACCATCATGAATACTTGCTTTTGAACTGTGCACTGATAAGCTGAGTGCTCTTTAGCCCGGAGGACACAGCGACCATGATTTCCAAAAAGAATTTCAAATGTTGATTCGTCAGACCACAGGACACTTTTCCACTTCACCTCTTTTTTATTTTAAATGAGCTCAGGCCCAGAGAAGGTGGCAGCATTTCTGGATCCTGCTTGTATATGGTTTCTTCTTTGCATTTAAGAGTTTAAACTTGCATTTGTGGATTCAGCGACAGTGGTTTTCAGAAGTGTTCCTGAGCCCATGCAGTGTTTTCCACTACAGAATCATGTCTGTTTTTAACACAGTGTTGCCTGAGGGCCCAAAGATCACAGGCAGCAAATACTGGTTTTTGGCCTTGTCCCTTGCATACAGAGATTTCTCCAGATTCTCTGAGTCTTTTAATGTTATTATGTACCGTAGATGATGAAAAGCAAAAGTTCTTTGCTGTTTTATGATGAGAAACGTTATTCTTGAATTGTTGCACTACTTGCCTACACAGTCTTTCACAGAGTGGTCAATCCCTCCTCATCTTTACTTCTGAAAGACTCAGTCTCCCTGAGATGCTCTTTTTATACCCAGTCATGTTATTGAGCTGTTGCCAACCAACTACCAGGTGTTTTGTTTTTAGCATTACACAACTTTACAAGTCTTTTATCGCTCTGACCCAACTTTTTTGGAATGTGTTGGTGGCATCAAATTCAAAATGGGCAAATATTTTTTAATAAATAATACAATTTCTCAGTTTCAACATTTGATTTGTTGTCTTTGTACTATTTTCAATGAAATATAGGGTTTAAAATATTTTGCACGTCATTGCATTTTGTTTTTATTTACATTTTGCACAGCGTCACAACTTTTTTGGAAATGGGGTTGTAAAAAATTCTATTGTTATGTCCATTTTACCTACTGTCCCAACTTTTTTGCAATTGAGTACAGGTCTAAAATAAAATGTGCTTGCAGACTAGCTGTCAAGAGACAAACAGAGCTCCTCATTCAGGATCCAATCAATGAGCACGTTTGATTTTTTTATACAGCCGAACATAAAAACTGAGCAGAAAGGCGGCCAAAGGTCTTTTGCCTTCAAAAGTCAGAATGCAGAGTTAAGGCAGCTGACATGATAGTTTATTTATTATTTTTATTGTAAATTCATTATTTTGGTACCTTTTGTGTAATTAGTGTAAAATTAACTAGAAACAGACTTCACATCTTTTTTATTTAATCCTAATCTGGTCTCAGTCTTGACTAGGACAGTTGCCTTGTGTCTGTATTGCAGGGACAGTGGTGATGATATTGAACTTGCCTCATGTCCACATGGCCAACCTTCCAAAGAATTCTCCATGGTGGCCTCCTGCAGTTGTGAGCTCCTGTCTGAAGGTGGGTTAACTGACTTTCTAGTACAGTTTCCAATTTAAACTTTTCGAGAAAGTAATAAAAGTAATGATTCATCCTGAAAAGCCATTGTGGTGTCAGGCTGGTCTCCGCACCACAGTAGTTCTCAGGGTTGTGAGATTGTCTCGGGATCACTAAAGTGAACTACGTTTTTCTGGGATCAAGTAATTAAAGTGGAATTTCCATGTCAAGTATAATTGAATTTTATTTAATAAATTTTATTTTTTGATGTCACATGCTAATTTTTGCTGTGTACTCCAATTAGCCATCATGAGATCTAACATCATGATAAACGTCATGACGACTAACATTAATGATAACAGAACACTTGTTTTACGGGACATAATTTTGCATTTTGTTTTGACAGCCCAAGTAGGGGTCAGCAGTACATGAGCATTAGCTAACTGCGCTACAAAGCATCCACACATGGAGTGCTAAAGAGCTGTTGGATGTCCGCAAATATTCCCATCCACTTTTAAACACATAAAAAACAAAATAGTTGTTGTTTTGTTTACTCATACCAATTGCAATTTAGAGACACTGATTCAGGATTATTATCTATTTGTTTGCTGTTCCTGTCAGGTGTACATCGGGCTCCTGAGAGGCTGTGTGCCACAGCTGCTGACCATTACAGCGCCCCCACTGTCCGCTGCAGGGAACTGCCGTTCACACAGCACCCCTCTCATGTGCCCTTAGAGCGATTCCTCCAGTCTCCAGAGGCTCAGAGTGCTAGCCCACCACCAGGTACAGCCCACACCCAAATGCATGTCTTATTCCTCATAGAAAATCAGTAGCATTTAGACAATTTATATTATCTCATTTAATCCAATACACAGTTTTTTTCAGTATTTCATGCAAACCGAGCCAAATTCCATAGGTCTTTACATTCTGCAGCAGTTCAGTTCGAATTACCCCACGTAACCCTCAGAGCCTTCTAGGCCTTAAGAGAAGACATAATGATTTCTGAGAAATTAAAATGCATGTGTGTTAATTCATTTTAATTTAATAGAATTATCATACTTGTTATGCTTTTGTAGTACTCTTCTAATGTAATTGTTAAGTTTGGATTGTAAATAAAAGGGTTAAAATCTTGAAACACTGCTAAAAATTGTCCTATCAGGGTTTTTTCTTGATATATACAGCCAAGTGAGCTCTCCCATTGGTTAGGACTTCAGGAGCTGGACTGAAGGCCTTACACATTAGATTTAACTACAAACAGAGGAATCAACCAATCACGTTTTTGATTTACAGTAGGTGGGACTAATTTTGTGAGAAAAACAATCTAGTCCATCTGGAAGTTATAGATACTTCACTGACTGTGAATATGGAGTTGTAGGCTAAACAGGTTTCAGTCAGTTGTTAGTAATTGAAAAAATCAAAATGTTGTTAGTAATTGAAAAAATGTTAATGTCTGTTTCAAGCTGCTAATAAAACATAAGGAATGTATTTTAGAATGGCTCAAAAAAAAGTTAAATATGCATTAGTTTTAGCTTAGCTCACATAATACTAGAAATCCTATAGCTAACTGAAATTAGCATTAATCAATATATTTATAGAGCTGTTAGAGCTATAGGGATCTAGCTCTAACAGTCACAGTTCACCTCTGCTAGAGACTACTATGCTTGATTATCTACTGTATGACATTGCGCATACTCTGTTAACCCTTAAATGCATATCTTGAAAGACAAAATAAGTGAAAATATCAACATATATCACAGTAAAAGTCAGTTTCATGCTATTATGGCACTTTGTGGAACCATATGTACTAGACAAAAGTGCTAAGTTGCTAATTATGCAAGAAATATACTGCAGATTGATGGAACACCTGTACATTTAAAGAAGAACAGTCACAGCTGGGTATTTTTAAAAGTGGAAACTGGTTCTGTATCAAGCAGAGGGAGAATGATGTGGACCGGTCCCTTTTAAGGGTTAATGCTGCCTCTATTTGCAGCATTCTGTGTTGTTGCTATTGGATAAGGCCCATATCTGGACCACACTCATAGGCAAACACAGACATTTTAGCAGATGGTCACATGGTGACAGTATGTATAAATCCACAATGAAAAAAACGAAAACAAATCGCACTCAGCTGTCACAGCTTCGGCCACTATGCTTCCCACAATGCTCCCTGTTTCGATCTGTGTTCAGGAGGTCCTGGCGAGCCCCCAGGGGAGACAGAGGGCGACGGCAGCCTGGTGGGTTACCCATGGTTCCACGGGACGCTGTCACGTGTGCGGGCGGCTCAGCTGGTGCTGGCTGGCGGCGCTCGAAGCCACGGCCTGTTCGTGATCCGCCAGAGTGAGACGCGGCCGGGAGAATACGTCCTCACCTTTAACTTTCAGGGCAAAGCCAAGGTGAGTCACCGATTGATACTGTACGATCTTGAAGGAGGCAACAAGGGACCCCATTTTCCAGTATTTAGTGTGTCCACTCTTTACCTTTATTACAGCTTCTACGTTTTTCAGGAGACTCACTTTCAGTTTCTCAAAGAAATCTGCAGACACACCTCCAAAGTTCAGTCTTAGAAGTTGGTTGAGGATTTTCTGAAGTAGTTAAACACATTCAGTGATGTTGAGGTCTGGACTCCGGGGTGGTCAGTCCATTGTTGTCTTCTCACTGTGGAAGGATAGACAGAAACACCTGTGGATGTTTTCAGATCTGAAGCAGCTTGATTTGCTGAAGATGAAAGCTTTAAGTGCTGTTTATCTGATGGGGACAGGTTTGGTGTCTACCAGGTCTTCCAGGTGGTTGTTAGGAGTCTCATTTTCTCTGTACCTTTTAATCACTTTTTTAACTCCAGTTTTGGGAACTCCAGTTGTTTCAGTTATTTTCTCCTTCCCTGAGCAAGTGGATTATCTTATATCTAATCTTCTCAGAGAAATTAATAACTTGTTCTTTATGGCCATTTTGATTGGAAATTAATTCTGTTTGAGGTTACTTTAGAACTTGATAGGACTTAATGCAACCGTTCAAAGATTTAGGCACAGAGCGGTTTACAGAACTTCCTAATGAAACCAGAAACCAGAATTTCCTAATTAATGATTTAATCATTGTAGCCCTAAAGTGTAGATGTTCTAGAAAGCAGTATAGACTTCTTGAAGGGTGTGGAGCACAATGCGGACCAAAAGATTAATTAACACAAGCTGTTTTTTGTTAGTTTCTTGAAGTTGATATATGTAAATGAGCTCTGTTCTGACTGGTTGTCCTGTATTTTGCTTTTTTTTTCGAAAAGCAGTTCAGGCTGAAACACATAACTTCAGTGTGAGTGGGCGGGGCCAAACTTCTGTCTGCTGAATAGCTGGATATGTGTAAATGTGCTGGTTTTTGTGACATCACAGAAATTAATTCAGAGAGGCTATTTTTGCTGTGTGGACTGGCGAGTGAAGAATATGTTGTGAAAATTTTAGCTTTTATATTATATATAAGTATATATATAACATGAAACTCTTGTAGGGAAAATTGAGTTTTCCATGATATGAGCCCTTTAAAAATATTAAGTAAAGGAAAACTTTATAAAGAGGCTACAGCTCACAAAACTGATAGCATGATAAAAAAATTTGTTCTAAGGGTTTATACAGTAATTTACTGCACCTACAGACAAATACAAGCATTTTAGTGCAAATGCAAACATGTAGTGTTGAACTGGTAAATGTTTACTGTGTCAAACTGTTTGCATCCAAGATAAAGAGGGGCACTGAGTTCATTCTGAATATACTGCCGCCTTCACCCACCACCCAGGTGCTCCGTTAGCTGTTTTCTGTGAGCATGCATCCGTACAGTGATGCTCAGCCGCTGAGATCCGGCTGAAATGTGATCTTTTCACATCCTGCTGCCTGAGATTCCGTCTTACTCCGGTGTCCCTCTCGGTATTCTGAAGGCTTCGTCCGTACTGCTGCGATGTAACACTGATTGGCAAACCTGCTCTCGTTCTGTATGTTAACTGATCTGTCTGCTTGTGGAGGTGGAATGTTCCCACCTTGCTCCTATGACCAGCACTCATGTCCTGCATTATCAGCCTTTATTTAACTTTATTTTTTCTCATTTTACATTTAGTACTGGAATATTAAACCAGGGGATAAAACAAATAAATACAGATGTGAGCAAACACAACTAAAGAACAGAGGCTGTCAGGCAGATAATCTAGTATCCAACTGGTTATAAGGCCATTTTACAAACATCAAGGGTTACATTATATTTCACACATAGCTCATACATAGCCACTTAATTACTAGCTAGTTACTCTGATAGGATAGTTTACGATCCACTTTTCCCAATATTTTGTAAAATATTCCACCCTCGGGGGTGAGGGGGGCATCCATTTTCTTGTTATGGTCTTTTTCCTGGCTGCCAATAAGCAAGTATTTGTCATTCCTACCTACTAACTGGAGTACTTTCCTAAATGGATTAAAATCACTCCACAGTTATTAACGTCTGACTGTAAAACTACGCACACTGCAGATTCATACTGGATTAAAATCGCTCCACAATTATTACCGCCAGACTATAAAACTACACACACTGCAGATTCATACTGGATTAAAATCACTCCTCAATTATTACTGTCAGACTGTAAAACTACACACACTGCAGATTCATACTGGATTAAAATCACTCCTCAATTATTACTGTCAGACTGTAAAAACTACACACACTGCAGATTCATACTGGATTAAAATCACTCCTCATTTATTACCATCAGACTGTAAAACTACACACACTGCAGATTCATACTGGATTAAAATCACTCCTCATTTATTACCATCAGACTGTAAAACTACACACACTGCAGATTCATACTGGATTAAAATCACTCCTCAATTATTACTGTCAGACTGTAAAACTACACACACTGCAGATTCATACTGGATTAAATAACTGATCTCAGTGGTAGTCATTTAAACCATGGAAATCTCTAGAAAAACCCCATCTATCCTCAATAGGACGTTATTTACTGACACATCTTCATCCATTTTCACCGACTCTGAACGTCACATAGATTCTGACCTATTTCTTTTTTTTTGCTGCTTTGTTCCTGTTTTGGTCGAATATGAAGTAACTGAAAGTAACAGTCAACATCAGCGTGTTTCGAGTATCATGTTCAGCAGCGAGTTCCTCACGCCTTCCTCGTGTGTTCCTGGAACTGATCTCTCAGTCATGTGGGAGCTTTCTTTAATTGCTCAATCCTTCTTCAGCACAGTGTAGTAAACGTGTAATTACTGTAACTAAAGTCAACCCTCACTCTCGTTTGTGTCTTTGTGTTTCGGCAGCACCTGCGCTTGTCTGTGAATGAAAACGGACAGTGCCATGTGCATCACCTCTGGTTCCAGACGGTGTGCGACATGCTGAGGCACTTCCACGCCCACCCCATCCCGCTGGAGTCCGGCGGCTCAGCTGACATCACGCTCCGCTCATACGTCCAGGTGCAGCGCAGCCCTACAGGTACTGCACACAAATAAAAAACTACTAGATCCAACTTTCTGTTCTCAAACAAACAAGCGGAAAACAAAATAGCAGTGTTTTTTGATTTTTATGTGGAAGTTATAAGTTCTCATTTTATCTGTGGTATCGATTGGCTGCTTAGGCATCACCAGTTCCTTAAATGCGCTCACAGGAGTCAAGGAGTGTCACAAGAGCATCCTGTGTGAAAGTCTTTTCATTGTAGATCCATCTTGTGCATCTTGGATATCAGACTTGCACAAACATCAATAACAAAATTACACAAAACTAATAACCAAATTTTACATTTACAACATTTGGCAGATGCTCTTATCCAGAGTGACTTACAACTTGATCATTTTACACAGGTAGGCAAAGGTAGTGTTAGGAGTCTTGCCCAAAGACTCTTATTGGTATAGTGTAGGGTTCTTGCCCAGGCGGGGATTGAACCCTAATTTACAGCATAGAAGGCAGAAGTGTTGCCCACTACACTACACCAACCAAATCAATGAATGTTTACTCCCACACACATTATCACGGGGTGTGCTGGGGCCTATCTCAGTGGTCACTGGGCAGAAGGCAGGAAACACCCTGGACAGGTCGCCAGTCCATCACAGGGCAGACAGACACATACAGTCACACACACACATAATCTTTAATATAGCAAAAATAAATGCGCCAGGTAAACCAAAACAGTGTAACACAAGCTAACTTCATTTTGGCATTGTGTAAACATCATATGTTAAAATTCTTAAATATTATATGTATACAATTATGTGTAATTTTCTGTCTAATATGTTTCCTGCTTGTTTTCTGACACTGAAAAAAGAATAATTTAATGGCTGCTTTAAGCAGGATTTAAGTAAATGAAAAGGTGGGCTCTAAAATTTGCATAATACTCTTTTTTTGTTATTGACATGCAAAGTAAAGCTTGGTAGCCTTTATAAAATCAACAGTTTTCCCTACATCAGAGGTCACATCATTAAATATCGGTGCTATTAGCAGGATTACGGATACTACTAAACCTGCAGGACCTCAGTAATGACCAATGGTACCCACAAACCGCTATATTCCTACTGCGTAGAGCACAACATGCTCCTCAGTGTCTTTTTGTCACTGTTTTTCTGCTGCGCTGCTTTTCCCATCAACCACTGAGCCCTGGCGGGAAACATACCACTGCCTCCGGTAAATGAATGGAGGGAATAAACAGAGATCGAATGAGCGATGCTGAGAGAAAGAGAGAGAGAGAGAGAGAAAGAGAGAGAGAGAGAGAGAGAGAGAGAGAAAGATAGAGAGAGAGAGAGAAAGATAGAGAGAGAGAGAGAGAGAGAGAGAGAGAGAGGGTCTGATGGGGATACAGAGAGCTGACTGGCAGGCTGCGGACTGCATTGCTGTAGTGTGTGTGTGTGTCTGTGTGTGTGTGTGATGGACGACAGAGCCTGTCCGACAGAGCACACAAGCAACAGAAACTCAGTGAACCTGTGAAAACTACCTCGCTCCATCCCTCCCTCGTTCTCTCGCTCTTTCCCTTCTCCGTGCCAGGCCAGCCACAGCAAATGAATGCTATCCATTGGGATGGGGGCGGTTTCACTGCTGCAGCCCCCTTTTTCTGCACCCTGGCCTCAGAGGCAGCATAGAGCCAGCACAGAGCCCCTCTGTTCTCTCACGGGCCTCGGCTCCGTCACACACTCACCTACAAATACCTACAAACACACATATTCAGAGGAGTGCGGTGATGCTGTTTGTAAACGTGCTTCATTAAGATGCTAGCTTTATTAAAAGGAGCATGTCAGTTAATTACTTTTTTTAATTAATTTGTTTTTGACTGCTGAAAGACACTGAACGTTAGGACGCTGAGCATGTCCTCGGCCACTCAGTTGGTCAGTGTAGCAGATGGACTGAGAATGAAGTGGAAAACAGATATAACAGGTTAGCTTACTGGTTTAGCAGATTCATACAGGCTACGAAATGCCCCTGTAATGAAGTGACTCGCTAAGACATCGACACTAAATGGGATTTATGTTCGCTTACCCAAGTTATTTTAATAGCTTGAACAAGAACTTGGCTATGGGTTCAGTAAACCAGCTAAATTACCTACTAAAATACCGCTAAACGTTTATTTAAAAATATTTACTGATTTTTGAACTTACTTCTATATCATCCCTACTGTTTAATCCTGTCTGACTCCTCTGTCTCAGTACCTGAACAGCATATCTGATCTGAGCCCTCTTTTGAGCTCAAAGTCAAAAGTGACAAGTGTTAATAGCTCCCCCTTGTGGAGAATGTTCAGACTGCTGAACCCGGCTTCATAATGAAGTGTGGACGTTTCAAACTCAAATTTTGAACTATTCACTAATTCACTGAAAGTGTAAATTTTACCCTGTTGTTATTTTTCTTTTAAGTAGTCGATGTAATAAAATAACACTTACTTTTTGTTATGTTTTAGCTACAGATGCACCAGTCATGAATTTTTATGCTCGATTTATCACAATTTCTTTACAGCTAAACTGGACAATTAGCTTTTATCTTTAACCTGATGCTCACACTGTTTGGGCTAGATGAACTCCTGAAACATGCCAGCACATTTCCAGTATTTTCTATGAGTAAAGTAACATTATTTGTTCTTTAATGGGCCAATTTGCCATTTCAGATTCTTAAGTAAAATTTCAGCTGCCTATTTAAGTAACATGAATCAAATAAAGTGCTACATCCAAAGCAAAAGTTTTGCTAACTCTTTTTAGTTTTGCTATACATCCCTGGAGCTGGAGCTACGAGGCTAATGTAAGCTTCGTAATGGAAACTAACCCTAACCCCGCAAATTAGTAGGGATGTAAAAATACAACGTACTGTTTTGTGTTGTATTGTGTCGCAGCGTATGGTATGGTATCGTGTCGTTGTATCATGCTTAGCATCCCTGCTGGAAAAAGAGCACAGACCAGCTTGCATTCCATGCTGGTCTATGCTGGTTTATGCTAGTCCAGTGCAGGTGTGGTGCTGGTTTAGCATACTAGCATCCAAAACTCAACATATGTTGGTTTTACTGGTGGTCGGCATAATAACTTCCATTGCTGCTATCCAGCATACCAGTTTAAAAACACAACATATCCTGGTTTTGCTGGTGACTAGGCCTGCTGGTCTATGCTGGTTTTTCTAGCTGGGATGTTAGCCTGTAGCCACTGTGTGGGCTTGGTGCTAACATATTAGCTTGTTTCTAGAGCATTAAATTGGGACACTATTTAACATTTGTTTCACATATGTTACTATTATAATGTTGAATGTTTCTAATAGACTTAACATCAGGCACATATTGCCACTGTATTGTATTGAATAAGAAATTTTGTGAATTCTTACACTCCTACAGATTAGCATTGCGCTAACTGCCAACTTCATGCCTAAATTATCACACTTAAACTGTCTTAAACTGCAATGATTTATTAAGTAATCTCAAACAGACTTACTTAAGTGGCTTCTGACGCTCTATGACCTACTGTTACCTATAAAGAAGGTCAAAAGTACATTAGCTCAATTAAAAACAGTAGTAGGCATCTTGAAGCCTGAATTTTGTCTCCACTTTTATCCATTTTTTAGATAACAGTGTGTCATACAGTGTCAGGAACCACATAAGCAAGTCTATTTGAGATTGTTTAACAGCTCGACACAGTTTGAGGCGAGTGTGTGATGATGTAGACATGCAGTTTGCTCAATTTGTGGGGCTTCCATTACTTATTAGCCAAATTAACCTCATAACCTGAAAAAACAGCAAACTGCAGGCACCAGACTTCTCTTGGCTGATTGACTACATTTGGCATTAGAAGGGAAATTTATGTAAATCTGACTTTTCACTGATTATTTACTGTTTTCACTTCATTGCAGATGTTCCCCATGTTCCCGCTCCCCCACGTGAGGCACCCAGCTGCCGGACAGAAGCCACCCAGCTGAACCACCACCACCTCCCCAGCGTCCCGCAGCCTCCAGCGGCCCCCTCATCCGACGGCCCGCTCTCCTCCAGCTCCTCTTCCTCCCCCACGGCTCAGCCGCCAGGAGGCCTGGGTGGAGGCCTCCACAGCCGGAGCAACAGCGCAGAGAGGCTGCTGGAGCCCCCTGCTGGCGGCACAGAGGAGTACCACGATGGTGAAGGCGCACGGAGGACAAGAGCTGTGGAGAACCAGTACTCTTTCTACTGAAAGGTCCAGCAGCCCTGGACTCTTGCAGTGGTGGTCCAGAAGAACCCCTGCCCTTCATATTTTGTTGTTTTCCCTGCTCCCACCACACCTGATCCAACTAATCAGCTCATAGGGATGCAAAATATCTGACCTCACAGCAGTTTGATGCAATTCTGATTCTTCAGGAACCGTTAAGAAATCTCAATGGTACGATTCAGATTTTTTTTAAACACTTGGAGGAACTGTTAATACAGAAGTGCAATATACACAATAAAAAACAATACCAAAGATTTTTTTTTGGTTTTATATTTTTGAAAACAACCTGAAAATTGTATTTTGGGAAAAAAAAAAATGAGTGCATACTTTATAGAATGTATTACAATTCATGATAAAATATTCCAAAATCATTTCACTTGAGTTATCACCTTCGCTTTTACACTGCTGGCTAAATAACAAGCCATTCCTGAGCTGATAGTAGGTTTGTTAGAGCAGGTAAAACAATAAAATGTGCCGAACAGGGGTTTTCCAGGACCACGATTGGTGAGCATTACCCTACAGAGAGGATGTATCCAAATTTCATACAAGGATACATGCGCTTCTTCAGGAATTTGGTTGTTCTTTGTAGACTATTTTTATTTAAATAAGATTTCCTACGCAACAGTTTTTCAAATTACACAAATTCCTGAAAGCAAAGGGAAAAGGTCCCTCCACCACCAAGGACCCTGCAGCTTGGCTTCAAGGACTCACTGCATACTTTTCTATCTGTTTTCTTCATTCATCTGCGAAGTTAGGACGATCCCGCTCTGCGGCGTTTTGATACGGAGCTTTTCCTTTCCGGAGAGGAAGCTGTCGCAGCGAGACATCTGACAGTGCTTAACCTTCATCAAGCCGTTTCCTGCAGATGCCCCCTCGCTCGACCTTTTTCTCCCACCCCCGCCGTCCTCAGGCCCTGCTAACTGATCAAAAAAGTTAAAAGCTCCCCAGCCGAATTGATTTCCCCCCGAGTGTCTCCACTTATGTGTATGAAGCTGTTGATAGAACGTCCCACACACACACACACCGTCTCTTGGGCTTTGTGGAGATGGCTTCCCACAAGTTGAACGTGGCAGCTCTGGCTAGCGACAGCCGGGGTGAACAGGGTCAGTTCTCTAGAAGCGAATGGTTGCAATTAACTAAGCCAACAAAGAGTGCTTGGCTCGTTTTTGGGCGGCGGGTACAATGCACTACGGATCAGCTCCTGTACATCAGCCACACTTTATTGCACTATATCAGCAAACAGAAACTCTACGTCACATTTCTTAGCAAGTAAAGTAATGTGCTGGTACATCGTTGTCCATGCATTCACAAGCCTGACCGTTCACAACTATACTCAATGTTCATATCAAGAATCCTAGCAGTCCACTTATCCACATTAAAGGAATACTTCAGCGCAAAGTCAAGCTTACACAGTTTTCTCCTTAACCCAGATGTAGATAATTAGCCAAGACCAATTAGCTCCTTTAGTTTTGCAGTGAAGCAGTGAGGCTAATGTAACTAACAAGTAGTAGATGCTTATGCTCCACTTAGCTGAAGCTCATAACTCCCACCTCCAGCTAGGAAAAATCAGACAATGCCCCTTAACTAGGAATTCCTACTCGGAAGGTGAGGATGGTGTTCTGAACTCCGAGCTCGGCGTATGACATTAAATCAAAACGGCTTCTCACACTCAGCAGTAATAAAGACCCAGTTATCTACCTTTGTGTGATATTTGTTATAGATCAGTTAAAATACAGATATAGTAATTGGTTAAATTGATAACATTGACTATAAAGTTCCCTGTTTTGGAGTTATCACTCATATCACTCATGGTAGCTGGCTAGCATGTCGCTAACATCAAAGACATTTTAGTTTTCCCACTTCCACACACGTGAAGGTCGAACGTAGCATTTTACCATGCTAATTAGCATAGCTAAACCATCACACTTGCCTCAAACCACCTCACATTGCATAATAATCGTGAGTAGACTTGATTATGTTTGTTTCTCTTTTCTTTAAATTCTCCCCAATTTAGTCATTGCTAATTCTGCTTGCTAGCAAGGTCTCCCCCATCACCAAGATTTGAACTGCTGCTAATGCAGTGTCATTGGGCAGCTCAACACACTTGGAGGGGAGCACTATGGTAGCTAACAGACGCCCGCGTTAGTTAGCTAGTATCGTCCTGAGTGAGGTGGGGGAGGGAGGACCATTTGTGGCCTCCCAGGCACAAACAACTGTAGCAACACCAGAATCAAACTTGCGCTCTCCTGATGAGAGGGCTAACGCCAGAGAACATGTAGGGAGGAGAATGACCACTACGCAGTGTCTTCCGGTTTTCTCAAACGCTAGAGGGCGCTCCCGAGTGAGTCCAAAATGAATGGGCTAAGATGGAGCATTTGAGTAAAATCATAGTCTATAAATACTTATACATTTTTTAATGTAAAAGAATACATTTGTTTCCTAAACACTGAATGGCATAAAACATTTTAACACCACTGTTGTATTTTAAGAGCTTTTAAACTCGATTTTTAGGAGTTTAAAATGGCGCCTCATGTATGTTCATGACATCTGTGAGCGCGGACAGCAGTAATGTTAGCGCTCTGCTACCCAAAACTCGTTTGCTGTCGAAAAAAGGAAATACATAGGTAAGTTTTCTTTGCCTTTTTAGTGAAATACATCCTTCTATTTTCTAAAATTACATTAAAGTTTTGGTGCAAATGAGCTCCATTTACTCCCATTCATTGAGGACTCGCTCGCGGGCGCCCTCTGCTGTTTGGCAGGCCTGTGTTTGATATAACGGAGGGAATAAGAAGTGGCCAGCTGTATCACAGGGCTGAGCTCCAGTTCACTCTAATATTATGGATTTATATATATATATAAAATTTATATGTAATTTATGAATTTATCACGTTTGCTCCCTCTTCACTCACTGTTTTCGAGCTAAACGATATAGGGTGAATAAAAAGACATGGCTAGTAGGTCGCTAACATTTATTATGGAAAAACGCTGAGCGACTCGTTGTGGTGCTTAAAGAAGCTGAACATTGTTGAGACCCGCTGACGACACTGGTGTGCACCTTTATTAAAAACAATGGCTTTCAATTTTTTGACACTGCATGTCTGGAGTGCGGTGGCTTTAAAGGGGAATTCCACTAATTTTTCAAAATTCCCCCATAATTTAGTGTGTGTTTGGGATGTAAACAGTCATTCAGAGTGGTTTGGTGTGAAACAGTTGATTGCAGAGCCTCAGATTTCTTAACAGTGGTGGTGATAGGAACCAGGGGTCGCCATGACTACAACACCAATATAGCCATTTTATTTACTATCCAAAACCACCAGTGACCCTACATGAGTCCTCTGAGTATATGGAATGTTGATAAGGGTAAAAAATGTAAACATATGAAAAATATATGTGAAAAAATGTTTTATTTGGGGACTATTTTGCCTCACAACACATTGCATGTATCCCTCCACCAGGAATAGCTTTTTTGGCCAAGAGCTTATCTCAAAACAGTCGTAAAACAATGTCTCAGATATCAGGCAGCATATTCATAACCATTTCATCTAATAAGATCTGTAATGTCGCTTTTTGAGCCATGAAACTCTTCAGACGTCTGGTTCCTATCACCACCACTGTGAACAATTCAGACTCATTAGGTTTCTCTAGAACAGAGCATTTCGCACCAAACCACTCTGAATGACTCTGTTTACATCTTAACTGTTTAATTACGTAGAATTTTTGGAAAATAGGTGGGACTGCCACTTCAGGCATAAATTCTATTCGTACTTTTGTTCAAGGGGAGAAATGTGTGAATTTGATTTGTCACTGAACTGTCACTTCAAGTCAAGGTTTACCCTTTAATACCTTATCAGAACAATCTTCTCATCTGTTACTTTGTACATACTGTCTAGGCCTCTATTCGTTGATGCACAGTACCAACCGGGATATTATTTAACCCTAACCTTTATGCATAAAGGGATAAGGACAGTATAGCAGTGCTAGAAGAATAACTGCAGTAACTAATCAGTAATGAGCTTTAATGGGTTATTAAGTGCTGACTGTGTGGCTGTGACTAATGTTTTCGTGTGTACTTTTGAATCCCTTCAGTATTAACAACATAAATGGCTGGGTTTAGAGGGTGCACTCTCTTACACACACACACACACACACCTGGGTTAAAATGAACACTAGGCAGACTGGGAGAGAAAAGGAGAAACTCACAGTGGTACATGTGCCAATCTGAATTGTATTTTTTGAAACGTATTTATTTCTCAGCCATTTGTAAATATCATTTTCCTACAGAGTTTTTATTTGTGTATCATCACCTCCACCACCCCCCCCACCTCTAGATAATTAAATAAATAAACGAATAAAGCCCCTTTTGTTAGTTTATTTATGTCCATACCTGTTTTCTGTTCGGTTGTGTCATTCTCTCTCTTCTTTTTGTAACCCTGAGTTTTGAAGAGTCTGTGCAATTTTGTACAAAGTGATGTACTTGACATACTACTTTATATTTCTGTGAATAAAATCTGTGAACAATCTGTTTAAAAATGAATTTTTTGCTCGATTTGATAAAAAGAAACTGTTCACAGAGTGAAGACTGTAACGTTCATTCTAGGATATAATAATAATAATAGTCTGTGTATATACATACACTGATCAGGGTAAAAGGGGGCTAACAAAATATGCAGAGAAACAGATGGACTACAGTCTGTAACTGTAGAACTACAAAGTGCACCTATATAGTAAGTGGAGCTGATAAAATGGACAATGAGCGTAGAAACAAGGAGGTGGTCATAATGGTACGCCTGATCGGTGTGTATATATATGTGTGTGTGTGTGTGTGTGTGTTTGGATGTTCCACCATTATATACCAGAGGTGTTCACACTTGATATACTGTTAGTAAGAGCTCACCGTTACCGTGTTACTGAAATTGAATACTTGATCTTTCACTCAATTTTCAAAAATAGGCTATTCAAATATTTGAGATAATGCTTGGTAGTGAAAATTTACGCAGTCCTGTTTTTTTAAAACATCCAACCACATTAATATCAGTGTAAATAAAACTGCCCACAACGATTCAATTGTGTCTGTCTGAAATGACCATTACTGACCCTTAACCACAGACCACCAAGAAAAGAAACCCTCCATTTATCTGATAAATCATTTCCTTTTTTCCTTTATGTGCTTATGGTTTGCATTCCCTTGAGTATATTTTTGGCGCTTCACTTCCACTTTTAATTGAAAGATACTGATTCCACTGAAAAATTCTGCATAATTAAATGGTTAAGGTGTAAACAGAGTCTTTCAGAGTGGTTTGGTGTGAAATGCTCTGTTCTAGAGAAACTTACAGAGTCAGAATTTTTCACAGTGGTGATGATAGGAACCAGACGTCATTCAGTTATGTCTAAACACTCCTTTACAAAAAGTTATTGAAATGGTTCTGAATACGCTGCCAGATTCCTGAGCCTTTGTTTTATTATAATTTTGAGATAACATTTTGGCCTAAAATGTGTATTTTTTTAAAATGCATTCATGGTGGACAGGTACATGCAGGACGTCATCTTGAATAAAACCTTTTTCAGATGTATCACACTTTTACTATCATCAACATTACATAAATAAAGATTAAGATATTAATTGAATTACGTAAATATATTACAAACACAACAATTTATTATATAAATATATTACATATGTATGTAATATAAGTTATATTATTACATAACATTACATAAATAAATACATTATTATAAAACTCAGAAGACTCATGTAGGTTCACTGGTGGTTTTCGATAGTAAATAAATGTCTATATTTGTGTTGTAGTCATGGTGACCCCTGGTTCCTATCACCACCACTGTAAAGAAATCTGAACCATTTCACACCAAACCACTCTGAATGACTCTGTTTACATCTGTGATCAAATCACATAGAAATCTTTAAATAATTATTGGAATTCTTCTTTAAGATAAGTCTTTGTAAATCTGGCCTCCAGACCTGCTGAATCACGTATGCATGAACAGGAAATCACCAAAATAAACTGGCTTCTTCTGTACATAGCATCTGCCATCTAGTGGACACATGGTTAATTACAGGTTCCCTGAAATGAAATCTGGCCTGCCCTTTCATACAGACAACTTCAGTGGAGAACAGCATTGGTTTCATAATGAATAGAGTTCACCTCTCCATACTGTCAGTTCCTGATCATAAAATTTATTTATGCTACAGAACTGTGAACAATAGTATTTGGGTTTACATATCTGGATTTTTATATGCACAAACAAAAAAACCCTTCAACAAACCTGAGAAGGCACACTGCACTTTGTTGTGCCAGACCAGATCTCACGGTTAGCTTTTATTTACTGCATGTCAAGTCATGAGGTGAGGTGACGTTTGACGTATGCTAAAATATTCAGGACATGGTAGTGTCCGACTGGCCTGGACACAGGAAATTCTACAACAGTACTCACATTATGCTTTCAACAGCTGAATACATGAGTAATTAGGTCAATGTGCAAACTGTGCAAAAATGTGGGTCTAAAACCATGAAAGGTGATTTTTACAGTTTTACAATAGGACTTTACTTTTAAAATAGAGCTTTAGACAAAATGGCCAAAAATAGGCCATTAAACAGTACCTAAAATCACTTAACAAGAGGTCAAATAAATTTTGCCTCCAGAGAGCTGAAGTTTTATGAGGCCCATCATCGCACCAGCACAAGAGAATTTTATTTATTTACGTTTGTTTGATATTGCATTTATATATGTGGGTTTTTTTATTGGTAAATCTTCAAACAAACCCTGTAAGACACACTGGAGGTATACGTCAGCAGGTGCAATGATGGACCTCATAGGAGTAAAGGAATACTGCCAGCATTTTTCCACCCTGCCCATTAGCTTCTATTATAAGGCCCAATCCCATTTCACCCCTCGCCCCTACCACTTGGCCCTTAGCCCTCTGTTTCGCGCGTTCACGTTTAGGGTTGGGGTGTCCCAATTTTAGTTGAGATTGAGGGGTAGGGCGAAGTGTTCGGGCTACATGGCCCCCCAAACGGAGGTTTTTCAGAGTCACACTCCAAACTGTGATATGAGAAAAAAAAGAAAAAGCGGCAAGACAGCTGCGCGAGCGACCAAAGAAACCCACAAATGTGAGAATTTTCTCCGTTAAAAAATTATGATAACCATTGTTTTATTTTAGTTTAATGTCGTTTCAATGTATTATGGTCGTTTTCTACATAACAAGCATAAAAAACGCTAATAGCACGCTAACGTTTCGGTAGCTAGCCAGCTAACTTTCCCATTCCACCTTAAATAGTCCAGGAGTTCTAACGCCTGAAGCGCCTGAATGTACCTGCGGCTCCATTTAAGGTGGAACGGGAAAGTTCGAACAATAAGCTGGTGAATATCTGACTTCAGCTTCATACCACCAGAGAATTAGCGGTGGGCGATAGAAAATAACTGTTTTATACCCCTCTTTGAAAGGATATGATGGCCTAAATGTAACTAAAGCCCAGCAGTGAGGAGCTGAACTTTACCCTCCTCTGCTGTCACTACAGACGGGCCGGGTCGCCTACAGTGCAGCGCAGTCGCTGTTAATGAAGTAATGCTCTCTTTATTTGAGGGTCCCATTTCATAGGGGAAGATTTTAACCACTACCCATTGTAACTCAGTTCCAAGGGGTTAGGGTGACACTCAAAAACAAGGGGTAGGGGTAAAAAGAAGAAGTGGGACTGGGCCTAAGTGTGTTTCCACTCAATTGGTTACTGGTTTAACTCTAGAGACTTTTACATGTTTGTTAACCAATCATCTGTGGTGACTGACTGCATGCTGCAGATGCAGAAGATAGAGGTTAATGTGAAAATTGCTGGAGTTCTCCTTAAAAGAACTACATGAACTTGAAGTCACTTAAAGGAGATTTAAATTTGAATTTCACCAATTTTACCAGCATAAGTAAATAGTTAAGACGTAAACAAAGTCATTCAGAGTGGTTTAATATGAAATGCTCTGTTCTAGAGAAACCTACAGAATTGTTCACAGTGATAGTGATTAGAAGCTTCTAAGCTATTCTAAGTTATTACACATTAAACAGGTTTTGAGATGAGATTTTGGTCTAATCATTTTTCTTTTAATACATTCAGGGTGGAGAACATGCAGGATGTTGTAAGGCAAAATAGTACCCGTTTTTCTAGGGATGCACAATGATATCAAAATCATATCATATCGGCATCGGACAGGTGATTTTACACTGATGTTTAATTACATTTATTGAACTAAAGAAGAGCAGAATGTTTAGGTGACACTGGGTTCCTATTTTGTTCATTTTACTGCATTTTTAACCCTCTAAAAAACATTACATTTCTCTGTAATGCTAATCCAGGTGGATCTAGTTCCAGTTTCTACATTTTAGAACTGCTTTTGAATCGGCATCGGCAGATATGAAAAATAGTGGATATTGGCATACAGTTCTCATATCGATACGTATGTTTTAACATTACATATAAATGATTAATGTAGGTACATTGTTGTTATTAGATAGTAAGTAAAATGGCTAAATTAAGTGTTGTAGTCACCCTGGTTCGTATCACCACCACTGTAAAGAAATCTGAGTCTCTACAATCAACCATTTCACACCAAACCACTCTGAATAACTGTTTACATATCAACCATACAATTATGTAGAATTTTTTTAAAACAGGTGGAATTCCCCTTAAATATCTCACATCCATATTATTTGGCTAATGAGCTGAGCTCATATTCCTGTTAAGCACAATAACACTTTCCCCCCTCTGTACAGCCATAGAAGCCCAACTGTGGTCCTGGAAGGTCAGAAAAGAGAACAAATTGGTCAGTTTCTTACGCAAAACAAACACTAAACCTGGCAATTATTTCAAACAGGTGAGTCTGAGGGGGAAAATTACCAAAACTCAGGTCTTACAGAACCACAGTTGGGCTCCTCTGCCATAAAGACCACTGCTGAATCCCAAATGGCTCCCTACTCCCTATCCAGTGCACTACGTGAATCAAGAAACCACAGCTTCTATACCCAAATAGTGCTGTATATGTCCAGTACGGGTCAGCGGCTCTTTGTTATACATGTGATGCACTGTTTGTCTGCAGAAGCAATTATTTCATGACCTACATGGTGCACAAATGCAGTATAGAGCCATCTGAGATTCAGTGCCTCCTTTCTCTTGGGTGGCAACCGCCATTTCAAGACCTCATGCTGAAAATAATGGCAACCCCCAAAGCCAGCAGCACCCCGACCCCCATCTCCATCATCTTGCCGAGCTTCCAATTCCTGAAGTCGTGCTGCTGCTTCTGCTGGAACTGCTTCCTCCACTGGCGCAGGGCCTGCTCCCTCTGCAGCTGCTCGCCGTAGTGTGCCTGGTAAAAGGCGTCAAAGTCGAACACCGGCTTCCCTCCCACTGTGACGTTGGAACGTGGCTTGGAGCGCTGCTGCCCCTGATGCTGTGGACCTGATGTGCGCGAAGTGGCCGAAGCCTCCTTCCCAGAGGGTCTTCCCGCACCCTGGATGTCCGCAGAACTCAGAATGCCTCGGTCGTACTTCTTCCTCAGGCCCACGCTGCCCAGGATGCTGTAGGCTTCACTGATCTGGGAGAAGCGCTGTGTGGCCTCCTCACTGCCTGCGTTCTTGTCAGGGTGGTAGAGGAAGGACTGCTTGTAGTAGGCCGTCTTGATCTGGGCCTGTGTGGCGTTGGGAGACACCTGGAGGTAGAGGTGGGCAATATGATGATATTCTTGCTGTGATAAATTATGTCACAAAACACTTTTCTGAGTGTAACATGGACATCATCGGTACATAAAGAACACTGGACAACTACATGTTTCCTTCCAAAGTGAGCATAAATAGGCCTGTTTTACTGGATTTATTGCAGTGCAGTTTGTAAAACATTGATTAAAAATCACTGTTGTAAGTTTATTATTATTATCATAATTATTATAATAATTGTTATTATTGTTATCATATTTTACATGTGGCACTACAGTTTTCATTTTGTCTGTTGCAACTTATAAAATCTCAGACAATCTAAATATGATGCATATCCTGTATCATGAAAATGTCTTGAAGTATCGTGATATAGTATTTTTGCCATATCGCCCACCCCTACCTGGAGGATCTCGTAGTATGCCGTCTTGCTCCTGTGTAGCGGGACGTCCGGGCTGTAGCTGTTGCTCCAGCTGCAGGACTGGGTTACGGTGACCCCGGGGCGGCCCCTAAGCCGTCTGTCGGTCAGCAGCAGGGTGGTACAGTAACTCCTGCGGAAAAGCTCAGTCCTCTGCATTCTGGGAGAACACAGAGTCAGCAGGGCGCTTCTGTTTACCCAACATGCCATCCTGCAGTCCAGAGAGCGAGCAGGGAGCAGCCGACCAACGACATCTTGGACACAGGCTTGATCAGAGTCCAACAGCATTAAATCAGCCCTACAACCCGACTGTAAGGGAAAGTCTGGCAGATCATATCGCGGACCGGGACCGCGCAGCCGGGTCTCTCGGTTAACTCATCCAGCCTTGACCGCGCTGCGCTTCTGCCCTCTGAACCGTCCTCGCCGCCGCCGCCGCCGCCGCCGTTACTCCTCAGCGCTGCTCTCCCGCTAAAGCAGGGCCCGGCGGGGGCGGCAGGCTGGCGGTCACTCACGGAAACGGCATGATAAGTTTTTAAAGAGGACAGTTTGTGGAGTCCGGCTCCCAGCCTACGGCTGACCTCCGCCATCAGAGCAGAGGACAACTTCCGCCCGTGGGAGCGCGGACCAATCAGAGCGAGGCAGACAGGAAACAGCGCTAAACGAAAAGTATGAAAATATGCTTTTAAACATAAAATAATAATAACAAAACCAATTACTACCTCTACAAATGTAACATACTATTTACCGCTAATGATAATATTCAACAAAAACACACTCTAATGATGGTAAAAATAATGTTTGTAATTCTGTTGAATGTCAGAAAAAGAACTAATAATAATAATAACCTGACTTGTTAATTATTGGTGAATATTTTTGTTATTGGTTTATAAATTAATTAGCTTATTTATTTATTTATTTGCTTATTTGCTTGCTTGCTTAGTTTAAGATTTAGATTTTTTTGTGTGTGTACTCTGAATGCGCCATTACCAGAATAAAAACACTGATAATTAGAATATAATCTGTGTTGTCTTAAAATAAATTATAGAAATCATAAAACAATAACCTAGTTTTAAACATAACTGAGAACGAGACGTCAATATCGCTCCTGTCTCTTTAAGAAGAGCTTTGTCGTCCCCTAGAAGTGACGTCGTGCTGGTCGTCCATGTGGCCCTGCTGTGAACAGTGTTGTTGTTATTCGTAGATCCGTGTTTCAGATTAATAGAGTTTGTTTTTCTTCACCTTTATTAGTCTGACATTGTGAGTCGTAGACAGAACCATCATGTCTTCCAGCTGTCGCAGACCGGAGCACATGGCACCGCCGGAGGTGGTGAGTATTCAGAGTGGAGCCTGTTCACTTCAGAACTGTTAGCTCTGTGGCTAACAGGCTAACCAGCCACAAAGATCTACAACAGATCAGCCGTAACATCAAAACTACCCCTGTGTTTCTACACTCATGGTCTATTTTATCAGCTCCACTGACCGCATAGGAGCACTTCGTAGTTCTACAGTTACAGACTGTAGTCCATCTGTTTCTCTGCATACTTTGTTACCCTGTTCTTCAATGGTCAAGACCACCATGGACCCTCACAGGGCAGGCACTATTTGGGTGGTGGATCATTCTCAGCACTGCAGTAACACTGACGTGGTGGTGGTGTGTTATCGTGTGTTGTGCTGGTCTGAGTGGATCAGACACAGCAGTGCTGCTGGCGTTGTTAAACACTGTGTCCACTCACTGTCCACTCTATTAGACACTCCTACCTTGTTGGGGTAAAGTCAGAGACGATAGCTCATCTGCTGCTGCACAGTTTGTGTTGGTCATCCTCTAGTCCTTCATCAGTGGTCAAAGGACGCTGTTGGCTAGATATTTTTGTTGGTGGACTGTTCTCAGTCCAGCAGTGACACTGAGGTGTTTAAAAACTCCAGCAGCACTGATGTGTCTGATCCATTCGTACCAGCACAACACACAATAACACACCACCACCACATCACTGTTACTGCAGTGCTGAGAATGATCCACCACCCAAATAGTACCTGCTTTGTGGTGGTCCTGTAGGGGTCCTGACCACCGAAGAACAAGGTAACAACGTATGCAGAGAAACAGATGGACTACAGTCTGTAACTGTAGAACTACAAAGTGCTCCTATATGGTAAATGGAGCTGATAAAATAGACAGATTGTAGATACAAAAATATGGTTTTAACGTTATGGCTGATTGGTGTATACATATGAAGCTAATATAGGCAAAATTACCTGAGAAAGTCCCTGGCGTGTGGATGCTGTTCCTGCTTCAACAGAGAAAATATCAGCCCAGGTGATCTAACTTAGACTGAGCCTGCTACTAATTTCATTGTTGCCTTTGCAGTTCTACAATGAAGAAGAGGCCAAGAAGTACTCTCAGAAGTAAGTGTCATACAAGATGTCATGAGTGCTAAAGCTCAGAGCTAATGATTGCATCAGTTTTACCCACACTGGAATGCTTAACTCACTGTTTTCCTTTTGTGTCCTGTAAAGCTCCCGAATGATTGAGATCCAGACTCAGATGTCAGAGAGAGCGGTGGAGCTCCTGAACTTACCAGAAGATCAGCCGTGCTATTTGCTGGATGTAGGGTATGTGTTTATTGCATGTCTAGTTGTAGTTAGTGTGCAGTTTTATTATTAGTGCTTCTTAGTCAAAGACTGATTCACACACTAACTTACAAATTTAAAAGAATCAATGAAACAGAATGTCATACACCTATACCAGGGGTCAACAACCCAAATGTTAAGAAGAGCCAATTTGTCCTTTTAACAGAAATCAAACCACCTTGGGAGCCACAACATTTTGTGTCCATTTTGCCATCTTGTCTGTAAATATGTCTTAGAATGTGCTGATTTGTTAGCATCAGATAAAAATAAAATATAAACAAAAACGCAGACTTACTTTGCTCTGCTTTAAGCTTTAGATCAGCTTTAGCCGCTTTTCTCTCATCTCCAGCAGGAAGCTTTTCTGCAAAAATGGAACAGTTTCTAGTAAAATGTCTCTCAACGTTTGACTTTTACGAAGCTAAAGTCGCTTCTCATTCGCCAGCTCCTTGTTTGAATTGTCCCGTTCCACCTTAAATGTTGCCTGAGGCACAAGAATGTAACTGCTGCACCATTTAAGGTGGAATGGGAAAATTCAAACAAGAATCAAACTTCAGCCTTGCAATTTTTTAGTGTTTGACAGTTTCTCTTAGCAGATTAAACGTATCAGGAAACCAGCTGGAGTGACTATAAATGCAAATAAGTCCATTCACCTCCAAATTATCGATGTTTCTCTTAAATCTTTCTTTTTGCCGTTTCGTTAGCTACAAGCTAGGCGAGATTCTTATCTGTGTTGCTATGGAGACCAGCAGTCTGTGTGCCAGTCATGAGGGTTGAAGGGTGAATTAGCAGTTATACATTAACTCCAGTGTTTAAGACCATTTAGTGTTTAAACTGTGTTGAATGACCAGCAGAGCTTTATTTTACTGCAAAGGAGGATTATTTTATTTTTACCTACAAATATGATTCTGCTGTGGAGCCGCAACAGGGCAGTAAAAGAGCCGCATGTTGCAGACCTCCGACCTATACCTTTGACCTGTACACCTATCTTAAAAAAAAGAAAAGAAAAAAGAAAAGAAAATGGAGTTAGGCTGTCCTGTATCAAGACACAATCATAACATTTATACATTTCAGTCTTAAAGGCACAGTAACCAAAACAGCCTGTTTAGGTTTGAGGGATTATAAGGCTACAATTACACTGCAGGTAAAAGTGGCCCAAATCTGATTTTCTCACCAAATCTATTTTTTTTTGTTTGGCTGTTCACGTTATCTTTTAAATGTGATCTGTCCGCGACATCAGTCTGAACAGATCAGCTCCCAAACTGACCCACATGCACCATAGAACAGTGCTTCACGTGGCTCATCCTGAGGTAAACAATCATGACTATGAATGAACAGTTTCAGTTTCGTCTTCGCCAGCATCGCAGTAGTGACCATGAAGTTCCAATGGCTGGCAGCTGGGCTCATCACCCAGAACGTGTGCAACCTCGCTGTAAATAAAAAAGGCACGTCATTCGGCTATGGTGACTTCATTGGTTCGCGTCCTCGGATTCTTTAAACGTCGCTTTCAGGCTTCTAACTGTTCCTTGATGCTGCAGCTGCGTTTGGTCATTTGTCTCAAAACCTCTTCAAACACGGAGCGGTTGCAATAAGTCTCTTCTAATTTTTTGTACAGATACATCATCCTAAATGTTTGAGTCTCAGCAGCGCGAAATTATGATGAATGTCGAGTTGGACTGACATAAAAGTCGCATGAATTCCAATCTGGCTGCTCAGACTGAGCTACATTGCTGCAGATCGGATACAGATTGGATTTCAGTACCACATATGAAAGCGTCTCAAATTGGAATTGAATTTGTCAGATTCAGCGTGTTTTTGCTGTTCATGCTGACACACATCTGTGTCATATATGAAGAAAAAGATCGGATTTGGGCCACTTTTACCTGCTGTGTAAATGTAGCCTAAATGACTAGAACATTTTGTACTGTAGAAATAAATTCTGACCATATTTGGAATATAAAACCACACAAATGACCTTAAGGGGGTGGGAGGAATATGAGTGTTACATTGTTAGCTACAGGCTATTAGGCTCATAGCTCCAGTGCAAAACCAAAGAAGTGCACTTCAGACACCGAACATTACAGTTTTCAAAGAATGACTTGAGTGAACTCATGAATAATCAGTGAATTGGTTTGATAATTCGCAATGTTAATGAGTTAACGGTACAGTTCTGTGTTTATTGACACTCATATTTGCTGTTTATTGACCTTCTTGTGTCCTTTCAGCTGTGGCTCTGGACTCAGTGGAGATTATTTATCAGAAGAAGGCCATTACTGGGTTGGTGTGGACATCAGCACTGCTATGTTGGGTAAGCGAGTTAATATTCACATTGACCAAGTTTAACGGCCTGCTTTATGAACTGGCTGTTCAGGCCGATTCTGTATAGAATTGTAAACAGATGAACTCTCAGATATAGACAATATGGAAATATGAATCCGTATTAACAAAAATGTTACAGCATATTAAATAATTTTGTTTGCTCTTTTCCTCAAAGACGTTGCTTTAGACAGGGAGGTGGACGGAGATCTTGTTTTAGGAGACATGGGTCAAGGCGTGCCGTTCAGGCCTGGAACATTTGATGGATGTATCAGGTAAAGAGAGATTGAGAGCATGTAATTTTACCATGTATGCAATACATTTGGGCTGTTAGGATTAAATACAACTAAAAAATATTGATTAAAAATGACCTTCGCAGTGAATCTGCAGTTACTCATTTGCATGATGATAATGCATTATTTAAATATTTTATATTGCAATAACGAGCATGTTGCAATCTTGTAAATGGTCCTCTAATTTGTTATTGTTTAGTGAAGCCCATTGTAATTTTAGGCCTTTTTAAAAGACTAATTGCTTGATTAATAAAAAATTATCAGTAGATTACATAATTGCTAGTATAATTGATAGTGACAGCCTGATTTGTGAGTTCTGAAAAAATATATATATATTAAAATTGTGACTATTGTTGCTGTCCTCAGTATCTCAGCGCTCCAGTGGCTGTGTAACGCAGATAAGAGAACCCACAGTCCTCCCAAGAGGCTCCACGCCTTCTTTAGCTCACTCTACTCCTCCCTGGTGACTGACAGCCTGCACAGTACACATTAAAATGTTTATATTTTAGGATTTAGTGGGGCTATAATGTTCCAGTGATTTATTTCATCAATGTATTTTTAGGCAAGAGGTGCTCGTGCCGTCTTCCAGATTTATCCTGAAAATTCAGAACAGGTGAGCTGACTGATGTAACCTGATTGGCTCTGTCACTGAGTGCTAGGCTCTGTCCCAGGTGGAACCCTAAAGCCAGCAGTGTACTTCAAAGGAATGTGTTTCAGAGGAAAAACATCATCTTTTCCAAAATATCATAGTGAAATGATTGTTCTAAGACCTCCCCCTGACTGTGATTGGTCCAAATCACTGCTTTGTTTGTTCTGAGACTTCCCCCTGACTGTGATTGGTCCAAATCACTGGTTTGTTTGTTCTAAGACCTCCCCCTGACTGTGATTGGTTCAAATCACTGCTTTGTTTGTTCTAAGACCTCCCTCTGACTGTGATTGGTCCTAATCACCACATTGTTTGTTCTAAGACTTCCCCCTGACTGTGATTGGTCCAAATCACTGGTTTGTTTGTTCTAAGATCTCCCCCCGACTGTGATTGGTCCAAATCACTGGTTTGTTTGTTCTAAGACCTCCCCCTGACTGTGATTGGTCCTAATCACCACACTGTTTGTTCTTAGACATCTCCCTGACTGTGATTGGTCCTAATCACCACATTGTTTGTTCCGAGCCCTCTCCCTGACTGTGATTGGTCCTAATCAATGTGTTGTTTGTTCTAATGGGTTCTAATCACCAATGGTCAGTTTGAAGTACACTCCTGGAATAATTCTGACAGCAAAATTTGAGATGTATTGAATTATGTATAATTCAGTGCATCATGAAAAGTCAAACTTCTTCCTAACTTGATTTGAAACTTCTATTTTATTTTGTAATTGAAAGAAAAAACTTGTTTTGGCCAACAATTAATGCATACTTGATTTAATGTTGTTGTTGTTGTTGTTGTTGTTGTTGTTGTTATATTTGATTTTAATCTTTTCTAATAATACAATTTTCCAAAGTCTGTGCATTTATACTCCTCATTTCCAAGCAATCGTTTTCTAGTCCTTTGGATACTAAAACAATTTGCTGCCCATATTCAGTAACCAGGGTTAACTTTGGCTTCTTCCTTCAGCTGGAGTTGATCACTGCCCAGGCTATGAGGGCAGGCTTCACAGGCGGCATGGTGGTGGACTATCCCAACAGCAGCAAAGCCAAAAAGTGAGTGTCCAGTATATTACTGCAGCTAATTCATACACAAGAGCCAAACGGTAAACTTACTGCTCATATAGTGAACTTGGAATAAGCTAATCACGTCTTTTCTTCTCGAAGATTCTTCCTGTGCCTGTTTGCTGGCGTGTCTGGCGTCTTGCCTAAGGTAGGACCTGTGGAAATAAATATACATGATGCAAAGGTTTTCCTGAGATGCAGCTGTAAACCCTGATATCTGTGGTTTTTTTGCTTTATTTCAGGGTTTGGGGTCAGAGACTGTTGACAGAAATGTTCCAAATCAAGTTCAGTTCACAGGACAGAGGTAAGGAGCTGTAGTTGTGAAGCAGGACTGTGTGTTCAAACTGACTTGACTTAAGTTATAATTGAGATGTTAACACATAAGCATTAAACTAAGCAGTGGATCACCTGCTGCCACTTTAACTCTTCCTTCCTTCCCATCAAAGGCTATTCCCAAACTTTCTTGTGCATCTAAAATGGCTAAGGGAGGTGATTTTGAGGAGATTACATATAAGCGAATCCGCATGCATAAGGAAGAAGGAAGTCAAAGGAAAATAAGTGTAAAGTTTCTAAAACTGGAGTTCTAAATGATTAAAAGTGATCGATTAAGATTAAAAATTATCAAGAGAAAATGAGACTCCTAACAACCACCTGGAAGACCTGGTCGACACCGAAACTGCCCCCGTCTGATAAACAGCACTTAAAGCTTTCATCTTTGAGAGAGAGGAGAAAATCAAGCTGCTTCAGATCTGAAAACATCCACAGGTGTTTCTGTCCATCCTTCCACTGTGAGAAGACGACTCAGCGCTGTGGGTCTGAAAGGATGTGTAGCTGTCAAGAAGAACCTCACTGAGAAAAGGAAATAGATAAAAAAAAAGAACAATTACACTAAAACACTGACACTGGACTCCTGAGATGTGGAGTGAGATTTTATGGACTGATAAGTCTAAATTTGTAATTGGGATTATTTGGGTCGTAAGAAGTAGAAAATGTAACCAACTTCTAAGACTGAACTTTGGAGATGTGTCTGCAAATTTCTTTGAGAAACTGGAAGTGAGTCTCCTGAAAAGAATGGAAGCTATAAAACAGGTAAAGAGTGAATACACTAAATGGGTCATTCTACAGAAACGTCCATTTTTGTGTCCCTAGTTAGAGATGTATATTACACTTAAAAACATATTAGGGTTACAATTTATTTACAATAAGTTATTTTAACAATTACACCTTCTTGATTTATGAATTTAGTGATATTGGTTTTTAAATCAATTATCTAGAATTCCAAGCACCACAGAAGTGCTTGTCCTCACAGTCGTGTAAAGGCTGAGGCCATATTTTAAAGAAAAAAACATGTTTTTCTGCAATTTTAACTGTAATAATCTTTACACGTCTATGAAGTCTATGATTTAAATGACATAAAGGAAACAAATACCAAATAAATATTATAGAATATATAATGAAAGCTGTGGTCCCCAGGAGTCGTGTCACTGGTGTTACTGCTTAACAAAAAATCTTATTTTGAAATAAAAATCACACTGATGACATCACAACTTCCTTTTACCTGTTTTCTGAGGATCTATGAAGAAAAGCACATGGTGAGTCCACTGAGTCTTTCAGTTATCAGAGATTTTCTCATTTAACTCATGATTTCATATGAAGCTTTTAGCTGAAGTCACTGGTGTGACCTACTTTATTCTGAAGTAACTGTGAAAAAATAGAATAAAAATGGATTAAATTACATATTTTAGTGGATATTTCATGATTGACAACATGTGGTTTAATACTCTGTAGCAGCCATTTTGTAAAATGCATTTTTCATTAAAAATGTCTCTGGTGTTTCCTTTCTTATGTGTAACACCAATGAGGATCACTAACGCCAGTGACACCTATGGAGAGATAGAAAAGTGGAGGTTTCTGTAGAATGACCCAAATAGTGAAAATCTCTGTATATATTAATCTGTGTTGGTAGTTTTAGCTTTATTTCCTGACGCTGATAAAAATGAATAACTTGCACTTAAGGGATATTAAATGAAATAACTTGGAGGGTGTTCTCAGGGTGAAAGCATGGTACTGTATATCCACATTGCAGTATAATTAGATTAATCGTCATATTACAATGTATCGTCAAGTTAAATTATTTCATAATTTAATCAATAATTTACATGTTATAATATGTCATCTTCAGTCACAGGTCTTGTCCATGAATCAGTGCAGGGTTTAAGGAGTTCCTGTTCTGTATGGACACAGACCAACAGAAACAGAGGGCAGTAGTTCTGTCTGGCTGCAGCTTCGTCTTGACAGTTTTTCCTCCCTCTGACATTCAAATAGATCCATATTCAGTCAAATTCCACAGTCTGTTGATGAAGTGAAAATAAGTGACACATCCTCCACAGAGAACACGCTCCTGCATTTTAACACACAGTTACTGTTTATTTGATGATTTTTACATACTGGAAACATAGAATGTGGCCTGGCAAAAGTTATGGCACATTTTATATTTTATTTTTTCCAACATGTCCAATATTTTTCCAATATTGAAATGTGTTCTCTGTAGAGGATGTGTTCACTTATTTTGACTTAGAAACAAAATGTGTCATTTGACCAGGGATGTTCAAACTTTCGCATATGACTGTATATTGAAAAATACAGTGCTTTACAAAAATATTCAATGCTTTGAAAGCTTTTCCTCTATTACAAGTAATAAGGTGCTGTATAATAATACAAATACATTTTTTTCCAATCAGTAATTTTATTGCAAACTCAGAGCAATAAAGTATTGCAATAATCACCTATCAGAGCAGAGCTCATTTACACATAGCTTTCTTAAAGGGACAGTAACAAATGATGGAAAACGTGGTTAAAAATGGTCATGAAAAAAATAATTGTGGCTATTTTTGGTACATAAAACCACAGAAACATCATAAGTGGACTACAGGGTGAAAAATAAAATACAAGACAAATATAGGATATGTTTTTTTTTAATGTCTGGTGTGATGAAATACAAGCTTAAAGCTGCTTCTTGTTCTGGAAGAGATACAAGTGGAATAAACGTTGTATGTTTCTATCTTCACCAAAACCAGGTCTCGCTTCAAAAATATGAAAGGCAAGTCAGTGAAGAAGAGCAAAGACTGGATCCTGGAGAAGAAGGAGAGGCGGCGAAGGCAGGGAAAGTATGTATCTTAGTGTTTATCTGAGCGCTTTGTGGTCAGAAATACCCCAGTTGATGATCTCACAGTAAAGCTGCACAATATGTCATTTTGTGATTTTTGTGGCCTTTCCAGTGCTAAATATCAAAGAAGGCTGCAGTATTCAAATTAGCCCTCTAACCAATCATAGTGTTTTTATTGTTTGCTGTCCAGCATCAGACGTTCTGGGCTTATTGCAGCTGACTGTTCACAAACTTCTGACAAGTCCCGCCTCCCTTATTTACTGTTTGGCTGTCAGATTTTTCCCATGCGGGCTCTGTAACTCTTTTACGAGACTGGGAAATTGAGTAGCATAAAGGGAAATTTAGAAGGATGTAGAAGTACATTTAAAATAATTTTGAATCAAAAATAAACTGGAAAAAGATGTACATGTTTATGAATGCAGGCAGATTTAAAAACAAATATGGATTCTAGAAACCATGTTTACATTAAATAAACCAGGCAAATCTTTAAGCCACTGAATGTTAGAGCAACAAACAGGTCATCATGACTTATGAGGAGGACGTTTGAGCTGAGAAAGCTGCCCCTTCAGATATTTTATCCCTATTCTGCAGTGTTGTTATATGGACTGCTCTGTCAGATCAGTTCAAACTGTGGTCCTGCAGTACAAATAAATAAGTAAATACATTTTTTCAAGAATTCAGAGCTAAGATATTCACAAAGGTTATGTTGTGATCTCTTTAAACCCAGCACATTAATGGAGATAGCAATAAGCTAAATATATACATTATCATCATTTATAGGGTGCTTTCTGTTGGGAGGTGTTTGTCCCAAATCCTGAACACCAAATTTACACTTGTGAAAATAATACATACTTTTTTGGTATTTTTTCAAAGATTATTTTGATTTCTTTTAAAGTAAACTTGAAAGATTTAGATTTTATTAGCTACATTTTAAAATTAATTTTTAAATGAATTTTTACAATTTTTTAAATAAAAAAACTTTATTTTAAAAATGCTTTCCCATGTTTTCATGTCACTACCGAAACAGTTTGTCCATAGGCGGAGCCTTGTTTTAGCCACGCCCCTGCATTTTAGAGGAGGAAGTGAGGCTGCAACCCTGTCCCTCATGGCCACATAGTGAGCAGTTAGATCCCACAGTTTTGAAGTAAACGTGTCCAAAAGTCTAAAAATCAGTGCGGAACATTAAGAATTGTCATTTACGAAAGCACACATTTTCTTCAGTTCAGTAGACTTTCTGTGTTTTAGTGATGAGTTTGTGTGTGTGTAACTGTTTTAAGCTCCGTTTGCTGCATTTTTGAGCTCAAAATGAGCTAAAATTGTCCATACCGAAAACACTCACTACTGAAACATTTGAGAAAGTTTCAGTAGTGTTATGATTGTGTTGGTAGTGACAAAATGGAATGTTCAAAGAAAAATGTTAGTCTGAAGTTCAAGTTGGTCCAAAGTCCAAAATGTGTTTCAACTCTGACTTTGAACCTGTTTAGTAGAATCATCCATATAACGATGCACTTTGTGTAGGTTTGGGTAGTTTTGTGTAGTATTTAGTACACTGTGGCATGTGGACAATGCTTATTGCTGTTTGTTTGTTTTTAGGGGGGTAAGGGCGGACACAAAGTACACAGGTCGCCAGAGGAGGCCTCGCTTCTGAAGCCCCCAACTCAAGACCCACTGCAGGACTGGCTCTTGGCCTGGTCAGGTGGACTTTCTGAATGGACTACACAAAAAGCCTGGCCCTGCACACTTCAACACTGTGGACTTATTTTGCTCAGCTGAAAGCCCACGATGTGACGAAATATGAAATACGTGAATGCCTGACATTACTGACTTATCAATTTCCCCTTTTAAGAAGCATCAAGTCTTCTTAATGCAGTCTTGGATGGAAATACAGTTTTCTGAAGATAGTTTTATTGCATCACAATATCCTGAGACAGGATGAAAGCTAAACTGATTAGAAGAGCTGTTTTAATTTGATGTTAATAGTACATTAAGAAGCTATGGACACCATGGTTCTGTACATTTGGCTGCAAATATTAAAATCTCAGCTCATCTGATTGTTTCCAAATTGCGTTTCCTAAAGTTTTGTTTAGCTAAACTGTTTATGCTTCACCCCAAAAATACAATTAATGCTGTTATTAATAATTAAGGCTGGGTATTGATACCGATACCCATATCTTGATTTCAATGTTGTTTCCTGAATTTTTCCCCCCATACCTTCTTTTAGATTATGATCTGAAAGAGGGTGTGGCTTAAACCATAGTGTATGAATGGATTTTTTTACTGACCACATTGGTTTTTAGATTAATGCAGGAGTGGTGATGTTAACAGCATGTGTGTGGACTGTAATTTAGACGGCCAATCAGCAGGCCAGGTTTTGAAACAAGATAGCTTATTGGCTCACAGAGACTGATGAATGCCAAGGTATTAAAATCTGGTATTTATGTCATGTATTTTTTTCCTGACACTCTGTATTATTTAAATAATTTGGTCGATATTGTAAAGGTATTGATACCAGCCCTATTAATGACTCAAAGACTAGTATGTGAAATTTGTATTTGTAATTATAATTAAATAAAAATTCAAGTATAACTTAAAGTAGATACCAAACGGCATTTATGACAGTAACTAAAGTTTATGTACCATCTTCTTTTTGGATATAAAATAAAATGCCTAAGCTCTAAAGTGAGGGGTGTGAGCAACAGCAACAGCAGTCCTGGTGCTGTCACCAACAGAACTGAATCAAATAAAACAAAAGCAAAAGAATCAGCAAAGGAAATGTTGTGAATGACAAAAATGGAGCGGAAGAAAGTTTACATTTCTTTCTTCAGCGCGTTCCCGCTGATGTCCACCAGAGGGCGCCGCCCTCCAAGCAGGCCGAGAATCATGAGCTCGGACTGGGCGTTATCGCTCCGCTGTGCCGGCTGATATTCTCGGTGTTGCTCGGTCGTTTGGAATTTTTTTAAACCTTTACGAACTGTTTTATCCTGTGTTCACACGAGCCTCTGCTTTACGAGTTTGTCCGCTCGGTTCATCATGACCAACTCTGAGCCGTTTAACGATAACGATGCATGACTCGTGAATGAATCTTTCATTTGAACCGTTCTTTTCTGTAAATCGTGCTGAACCGATTCACCGAGTCCGTTTGAATCGAACACAGGAATTGATCACATACCCCAAAAGATTCGAATCACGCCTCACAATCTAACTTCATAAAGTCAAAACATGAAATACCACATTGTAACATTATATACTATATAATATTAGACTCCAGTGTTGATTAATCAACGCCCCCCAACTCACACAATATCAGCTATCTGTGTTACAGTTCATATTAATGTAGATTTGTTGTTGTTATTCAGTCAATAAGCCTTTATTTAAACTCAGAGCACTTTGAGGGTGACACTCATTCACCATGTAGCCGAGCATTACACAAAAAGGAGGGATTGAAAAGAATAAATATCCATTTGTGATAGGAAAAGTATAGCAAAGGAAACAAAATATTACTAAGAAATGATCAAAACAGTACATAAAAGTAAAAATTAGGAAACATTAAGACAAATCAGGAAATCTAGTTAAAACTATTGAGCAGATTAGTATTAAAAAAATTAAATTGAGTAATAAAAGTAAGAACTGCTGAGCAGTGTATGAACAAAAAGATGAAGTGGAGTAAGCAACACTAAAACAATGATAGTAATGACAAAATAACTAAAATAACATTTAAAACGTAGTAGTAGTTGTAGTGGTGGCATTACTATTATTATAATATTATAATTATTAATATTATTAGTATTATTATTATTGACTGGTGACCTTTCCAGGGAGTGTTCTGCCTTCCACCCAATGACCGCTGGGATAGGCTCCAGCAACCCCGCGACCCAGAAGGACAAGTGGCGTAGATATGTGTGTGTGTGTGTGTGTGTGTGTGTGTGTGTGGTGTTATAATTATAATTATTATTATTATTATTATTATTATTGTTATATTTGCATATCATAATAGGCCTACATGACCCAAGACATTAGACATGCGTAGTAAACAAAATGTTGACAACACATTTCAGTTTTCTATCATTCTTAAATATTTCAGATACTTAATGACAGAAACAGCTTTTTTATGCATAGACATTTATGAGACTTCAGTTTAATGCTTAGACATTTAAAATAATAAACAAAACAAGCAAAGACAGAGACAGAACAGCTTCATCCACGAACAACACAGAGAACGTTAGCTGTGTCTAACCTCAAAGGCAAACAGAGACGTCTTAAGCCTTTTTTAAGCATCTCATTAGACTCAGCGAGTCTAATGTCTAAGGGCAGAGTATTAGGAGCTCAGGAGCATATAATACTGAACAAGCACAGTCTCCCTCCCGTTTTCGCTTTGTCCTAGAGCAGAAGGTGGCAACACAAATGTTAAGAAGAGTCATTTTGTCCTTTCAACAAAAGTCAGACCACCTTGGGAGCCACAAAATTGTATGTCCATTTCACCGTCTTGGCTGTAAATATGCCTCAGTATGAGTTAATGTACTAGTATAGGATAAAAAGATAATATAAACAAAAACACAGACTCACTTTGCTCTGCTTTAATCTTTAGCACAGCTATAGCCACTTTTCTCGCATCTCCAGCAGGAAACTTTTCCGCAAAAGTAGAACAGTTTCTTGTAAAATGTCTCTCAACGTTTTTCTCTCAACTTTTTATGAGGCTGAAGTCGCTTCTCATTCGCCAGCTTCTTGTTCTAATTTTCCCGTTCAACCTTAAATGGTGCCTGAGACGCCAGAATGTTACTGCGGCACCATTTAAGGTGGTCTGAGAGAATTCAAACAAGAAGCTGGCGAATGAGAGACTTCAGCCTCGCAACTTTTTGATGTTTGAAAGTTTCTCAATGCAGATTAAACGTATCAGGAAACCAGCTGGAGTGATTATACATGCAAATAAGTTCATTCATGTCCAAATGACTGATGTTCGTCCTAAATCTCTCTCTTTGTCGTTTCGTTAGCTAGGCAAGATTGTTGTCTCTGTTGCTATGGTGACCAGCAGTCTGCGCGCTGATCTTCAGGATTGAAGGGTGAATTAGCAGTTCTACATTAACTCCAGCGTTTAAGACCATTTATTGTTAAACTGTGTTGAACGATCAGCAGAGCTTTATTTTACTGTAAAGGAGGATTATATTATTTTTACCTACAGATGCTGTGGAGCCGCAAGAGGGCAGTAAAAGAGCCGCATGTTGCTGACCCCTGTCCCCTAGGAACCACTAAAAGCCCTTGACTAGAGTCCTAGCTTTAAAATAAATACAGCAAATTCAACTAGAAAACCCTGAGACGTGGTTTATTTACCATATTTTGCTGTGTGTAAATGATTTACCAAAAAAAAATCAGATTTAAAATCATTTTTATCTGCAATCAATAATCACGGTACGTTTTCTCTGAATTGAGCATCATTGCATATCGACTGGATGCGAATCAAACACACGAATCATCATTTAATCTTTATTTACTAACTCAGCTGAAAAAAAAATCATAGAAACCATCGAAAGTGTCTGTTGGTTCCTGGCGGTGTCCAATAGTCACTGATATTCTGTGTTGTCCTGATGGGTTGATATCTCAGTGTGAAGGACTCTAATGGTTCAACAGATGTTTCGATTCCAGATGCATTTGAAGGTTTCCTAATAAGTGCCTTTCAGGAAACTAGTGGTCTCCAATGGTAGCTATTAAGCCAATTCCCTTTAGAAAGCAGAACCATCAGGGGACGCGAACAATTAAAGCTGCCATTGAGTCAATGAATCGGAAGACTCGATTCACCGAGTCGCCGTTCGAAAGAATCGGTTCTGTGAACTGAATCGAACTCCTTATCACTATCAAACGCGTCATACATCCATTGTGTGTGGACGGACCCACCTTCTCCCCCCCACCTTCACAAAAACTCGAGCTGGAGGAAAGGAGGGAGGGGGAGACGGAGAGAAAAAAAGCTCTTCTAGAGAGGGATGCGCGCTCGCGCCTCTGTGGGCTTTTCTGAGTGGACTGACTCGCAGGAGCTTGTAGTTTTTTGGGGGGGTTTGCGAAAGGGGGCTTTGTAGTTTGAAACATGAAGGACCGCACACAAGAGCTGAGGCATGTAAGTAACCCGCTACCTGCTCTGCTTCATCAAAGCTACTTCGACTGTTTGTTTGTTTGTTTGTTTGTTCTCGAGTTGCGCGGCGGCTGAAGCGATCAGAGACCATCAGAAACAACTGTTGATGCTGTTGGAGGCGCGAGGCTGAAGTGAGCGGCTGTATTCGGCAGCTTCTTATTCCAACTGTCCGTTCCACCTTAAATGGCGCTGCTGTTAGATTCTGGCGCCAGAGTGTACCTGCTGCAGTATTTAAGGTGGAACGAACAATTCGAACTTCAGCCTCGTGCTGCAACCTGTTTCTCTCCGCGCGTGAAGCGCACCGATGTATGAGTTCACGTGAGCGCACCAGTGCATGCGTTTGGACTGAACTGCTGCTCTCTTCTCTCACTTTCCCCCTTTTTTGCCCAGACAGGGTCAATTAGCCTTCTGACATCCGTTGAAGAGGAGAGTATAAGAGAGAGAGATAGAGGGAGAGAGAAAGAGAGGGAGAGGAAAGAGAGGGATGGGTTATAAAGAGAGGGCGAGAAAGAGAGAGAGAGAGAAAGAGATGGGTTGTAAAGAGAGACAGAGAGAGAAAGAGAGAGATGGGTTATAAAGAGAGGGTGAGAGAGAGAGAGAGAGAAAGAGAGATGGGTTATAAAGAGAGGGCAAAAGAGAGAGAGAGAAAGAGATTGGTTGTAAAGAGAGAGGGAGATAGAAAGATGGGTTATAAAGAGAGGGCGAGAGAGAAAGAGATGGGTTGTAAAGAGAGAGAGGGAGATAGAAAGAGAGGGATGGGTTATAAAGAGAGGGAGAGAGAAAAGCTGGGTCGTAAAGAGAGAAAGAGAAAGAAAAAGAAAGATGTGTCGTCAAGAGAGAGAGAAATAGATGGTTGTATAGAGGAAGAGTGAGATGGGTTGTAAAAAAAGAGGGAAAGAGAACGAGAAAAAGATGGGTTGTAAAGAGAGAGAGAGAGAAAGAGATGGAGAGATGTGTTGTAAAAGCGAGAGAGAAAAAGAGAAAGTGAGATAGAGGGAAATATGTGTTGTAAAGAGAGAGAGAGAAAGAGTGAGTCGTAAAGAGAGGGAGAAAGAAGGATGGTTGTGAAGAGAGAGAGAGAAAGAGAGGGTCATACAGAGGGAGAGAGAGAAAGATGGGTTGTAAAGAGGGAGACAAAGAGATGGGTTATAAAAAAGGAAGAGAGAGAAATAGATGAGTTGTAAAGAGGGAGAGAGATAGAAAGAGGTGGGTTGTAAAAAGGGAGAGAGATAGAAAGAGGTGGGTTGTAAAGAGGGAGAGAGAGAGGAAGAGAGATGGGTTGTAAAGAGGGAGAGAGAGGAAGAGAGATGGATTGTAAAGAGGGAGAAAGAGAAAGAGGGATTGTGAAGACAGAGAGAGAAAGAAAGAGATGGGTTGTAAAGAGAGGAAGATAGAGAAAGAGATGGATTGTAAAGAGAGGGAGAGAGAGAAAGGGATTGTGAAGACAGAGAAAGAGAGATGGGGTTTAAAAAGAGGGAGAGAGAGGAAGAATGAGATGGGTTGTGGAGAAAGAGCGAGAGAGAGAGAGATGGGTTGTAAAGAGAGTGGGAGGGAGAGAGAGAGAGATATGGAGAGATGTGTTGTAAAGAGAGAGAGATGGAGAGGTGTTGTAGAGAAAGAGAGAGAGAGACAGAGAAAGAGACAGAGAGAGGGAGATGTGTTGTACACGCCCGTTTTCAGGCCCTCTGGTCAGTCTCTGGTCTCTGTAAACCTGACCTGCTGAAACTCAGGCGCCCTGAGAGGCTCAGCTCACACCGTTAGACACGTTTGAGGAGAAAAGCCTGAGTTCTAATCTGAGCTCAGCGCTGAGGAGATGATCTAAAATCGGAAAGCAGCTCTATGTTGTTCTGTGCTTACAGCTAATAAGCTGCTCATGATGCCGCAGGGGCTGCAGGGGTTGGGAGCCCACCAGCCCTGAGTAACTCTGTGTGCATTTTTCATGTAGTGTGTGTATATATATATATATGTGTGTGTATATATATATATATATATATATATATATATATATATATATATATATACCTTGTATATGGTTATACAGAACCTTTTTAAAAAGGTTCTGTATAACCATATACAACACATTCTCCATCAGTCTGAAAAAACATTTCACCATCCACACACACACACATCATCTAAACCGCTTATCCTTCTGGGTTGCGGTGGGGTGCTGGAGCCTATCCTAGCTGTCATTGGGCGGAAGGCAGGATACACCCTGGACAGGTCGCCAGTCCATCTCAGGGCCATTTCACCATCCAAAGAACCATTTAAGCATGCAGATGATTCTTTGAACGTTCATGGTTCTAAATAGACTTCTGTCTTTACTAAAGAACCTTTGAAGAACCATCCTTTTCCAGAGCGCTGTAGCTTTTTAAAAAGACTTTTGTTTTATTTTCTTAAAATAGCTCTAAAGGGAGCTGTACATGTATATTTCTACCAGTGAACCAAATAGGACGTCACTATTTTATGGAGTCTGAAATGATTGTGGATATGATCCTTATCATCTACCAATTAGAGGTGGGCGATATGGAACGAATATGGATTTTCACGATACACAATATGTCACAATATTTATTTTTTTCAGACATCTGATACGTTTGAACAGATAAAAAAAAACAGTAGTGCTACCTTTTCCAAAATACTGTCAAGAACTGTTAATACAGTAATTTTTATTAAATATTTGGCAAACTGTCTTGCACTAAATCCAGTTCAATGGGACCAATTTTGCTCTCTTTATAATGAAACATGCACTTGTTTTTTTAAGTTTAAAGAACCTAAAGGTTCCATTTATGTATTTATATTTGTTTTCACTTATGATTTTTCTCATTCTTATTAAAAGCCTTAATAATAGTGAGAGCTAATGAGTAATACTAGTAGTAAGAAATAATATTAATAGTAAATAATAGTTATTGTTATTATTATTAGCATCCTCACTCATTTAAATTTTGTGTTTTGTTTTATAATTATGCATTATTAATAGTAAGCGGCAGTAACTATAATAATCAGTAATAGTGCTAATAAAAGCAGGAATTGCACATTGTTGTTATTATAATTGTTATTATTACAACAAATAGCAAGTTAATAATTAAAACATTGTTAATAGTACAAGTAATTAATATTAACAGTGAATGGCAACTATTTTTACTATCAACACTTGTACACATTTTTTTCCCTATTTTTGTTTTATTATTAAGTATATTTATGATTTTATTTATTCATTTATTAAAATGGATGGTAATAGTAGGAGCTAATAGTTATAATAACAATAGTACTAGTAATTAATTTTAACGGTAAAAAATAGCCACTATTTACTGACATATTTTACATATTTTTATTATTGAACATTTACTACATTATAACATGTTTATTTATTTATTTATTTATTCATTGTTTAGTTAGTTGAGAAGTAAATCTAATTCAAGATTTATGGGATTGTTGTTCCACTGTGCTGAAGGTAATGCTAAGGATGTAATGATGAGCATGGACACAGACCCTTTCATTAGAAGTGTACAGAAGTGACCACACCTGAGTGGATTGGGCTCTGGAAGGTGCAGCGTGTTTAAATGAATGAGCATCCTGTCCAGAACCCGGACCACCGCTGTTAATCAGGCTAAACATCCTGAACTCTACACATGCGAACGTTTGAGCCATCTGCTCAGAATAAAACCAGACCGCAGCATTTTTATGGATCTGCCATCAAGTTTGATTCTGTTCCATTAGGATCTCTGCACCCTCAGACTGGAGGGAGCCTTTAATTGTCTCTCCAAGCTAAAATTAGGCCTGCTGGAATTCTGGTCAGATAAAAGAAGTGACTGGACTTAGTGCTGGGCAGCACTGATAAAATCCCTGTCGTGATATTACATTATCACAGTTTTCACTGATGAGGTTTACATGACTCAGAGTTAATGAGTCTGTGCTTCCTAATGCTTTACAACCTGACATAAACTCTTAAAAAGGAGGGTTCTATAAGGGTTCTTTAGTAAAGGGAATGGTTCTGTTTAGAACTATGAGTCCTGCATAGAACCTTTTCATGCTTAAGTGGTTCTTTGCATGGTAAAATGGCTCTCCAGATTGATGGAGAATGTGTTGTATATGCTTCTGTATAGCACCAAAATTGTTTTGGATCCTGCTATTGTTACGATGTCAAGCTTATATACAATAGAAGAACCCCTTTTGGTGCTATATAGAACCTTTTTCACATTCTCCATCAATCTGAAAAAAATTTCACCATCCAAAGAACCATTTAAGCGTGAAGATGATTCTTTGAATGTTCATGGTTCTAAATAGACCATTGTCTTTACTAAAGAACCTTTGAAGAACCATCCTTTTCCAGAGCGCTGTAGCTTTTTAAAAAGACTGTTTTGTTTTATTTTCTTAAAATAGCTCTATAGGGAGCCGTACATGTGTATTTCTACCAGTGAACCAAATAGGACGTCACTATTTTATGGAATGTGAAATGATTGTGGATATGATCCTTATCATCTACCAATTAGAGGTGGGCGATATGGAAAGAATATGGAATCGTGATACTTCGAGAGATTTTCACGATACACAGTATGTCACGATATTTATTTTTTTCAGACATCTGATACATTTAGATAAAAAAGAACCAGTAGTGCTACCTTTTCAAAAATACTATCAAGAACTGTTAATACAGTGATTTTTATTAAATATTTGGCAAACTGTGTTGCACTAAATCCAGTTAAATGGGACCGATTTTCCTCTCTTTATAATGAAACATGCAGTTGTTTTTTTTTTAAGTTTAAAGAACCTAAAGGTTCCATTTAGGAAAGTTTACTTTTAAGAGAATACTGGAATAGATAATAATGGTTGTGTTTACATGCACTTATTAATCTGCTAACTGCAGAAAATCAGTTTTTGTCAGTAATCTGATTAACGCGTTTACATGCACTTGAGTAATCAGATAATGTAAAACTCCGGGTCTACATGAGTCGGACAGTAATCAGATGTCTGGTTTGCAACCAGCC